GATTTTGCCCTGATTTTACAAATAATTGGAAAAATAAACAAATGACTCATATTGTCAAAATCACCACTCTCAACAGTTAAGAGCTGTCCTCCCCATTGGTAGTTCCTGGTTGCACTTTTGCCCAGAAGAAAATTCCCAAAAGAAAATGTAGATACATGAAAATGAAAGATCAAAGTGTCCTTTATGGGCAGCATTTGAAAAAGGAAAGGAAAGGTAGTAATGTTGAGTGGCCCATTTATCATTTTAATGATATTCATTTGTAGCAGATGGATGTAGTTGTTTTAAATTCTCTTAATTAACCCTTTGGTCTAAGGGCTATTTTATACCACTTTTTAAAAAGTGACTGAGAGACTCAGACACTTGCCTCAAGTTGTACATTGTAAAGAACGAAGCGAAGACTCAAACCTGAATCCTCTTGCTCTAAAGGCTCCAGTTCTTCCCCACGCTGCTTCTCCAGAGTAGAAATATGAAATCCACAATATCCCCTTTACATGGGGATCCAACACAGAGTGTCTCCTAAGGTGTGTGCGGAGCTAGCAGAGCAGTGTCAAGGTCAAGGTCCCTTGAGTGAAGAGGAATTGTCATCCTAAGGAACAGAGGATGTGCACATCTTTGAAACCCAGCACAAGCATTCCACAATGCCATGGGGGCAGAAATCAAATTCTTTTAGGTCACAGCCTGGAGAAATAGGTCATGCAACAGGTTGTTCAACACTGAGCTTGGGTAATGAGATCTTCCTGTGACAGTCGGAGGAGTGCAGAGCCAGGAAGCGCAGTAGTTACCCACTTAGGCTCTGGAGTTGTAGACTTGAACTGACGTGCTGCTTTTGCACTGAGATGAACACTCTGAATCTCAATATTCTTACCAGTACACAGGTAAGAATAATATTTTGTTGGGTCATGGTTAAATCAGATGAAATATTGAGTATAAAAGTGCCCCCAAGCATTGTCCTTTTAAATTTTCCCTGCCTATATCTCTAAAATTCACAATCCAAATTCTATATTATGAATTAACATTTAAAAAAAAAGAATGTAAAAGCCATTCGCAGTCTCTGCACAGCAGCATCCTGGATGGCATTTGGTATACACAGATGTCTGGATGAGACATTAAAATGTGAGGTCAGTGTAGCTATGAGCACAGCCAAGAAAAACAAGGCTAAGCAAAGTCCTGTGACCTTCATCCCAAGTGGTACAGACAGAATAACAAATAAAGATGAGAGCAGGTTTATTTGGTGTCTCTCCAGTGGCTTTCGTATGGTTTCCTTGGAAGAATTTGCCCTGACATTGTGCAGAAATAGTGCAGTTGTTAGGGATGATTATAGGCAACTGCCTTTTCCCAGAGACTGAACTGTGTTTACCCACAGACCTGCTGCTCCCCAGTGACCCACTAAAGAGGGCACAGTGAGTCCTGGTGTTTCCCACAGATTAGGTCTTGTGAGAGCCACAGAGAACTGGCTCAGAGCCTGGAGAGGCAAGCCAGATACAGCGAATTGTAGGGGAAGAATTCAAGCTATTAGGTGGGGATGAGAGTGGGATTGGTGGTAGGTCACGGAATCCATTCCAACAGAAGCGCAAACCCGGGAGAGAGCAGGCTCACCTGACAGACTAAATTCTTTTCTGAGCCATGTTTGAAATCAATGAATGTTAAGAAACCAAAGGAGAACATTTCAGTTAAGAGGGGAAAAACTTCCTTGAAAATTGTGTGACTATCTAGTACTTAAAACAAGTCCAGACCAAATAGACATGTGTTAAAAATGTGACTTCAAAGACTCAGTACTAATAAGGAATATATTACATTACATTGCATATGGTTGAACATGATAGTATTTTAGATCTCTCTCTTTCTCTCTGCTGCCCTAAGAACAAATCATTCCATTCTTTTTATGGAACTTATTGTCCTTTCTGCCTTCCCAAACTTATGATGGGGGTCACATCCTGATCAACCCATCCTAAGTTAAAAGTATTGAAAGTAAAAAATGCATTTAATATGCCTTACCTACCAAACATTCTAGCTTAGCAACATGGCACACTGCAATGTCAAATCTGTCCCCTCATGACCATGTGACCAGCCAGTAACTATCTTGCATGGTATCTCAGGAGTATCAAAGTGTATATTGCCAGCCTAAGAGAAAGATTAAAATTCAAATTTTGCAGTGCAGTTTCTAAGAATGCTGTTGTGCTCTTTTAAAGACAAATAACTCCTAAGTGGAAACATTAGGTGCGAGGCTGTATGTACCATGTGAGCCTCGTCACTCCACTCCCTGAACTCAGAACAGCATCTTAGACACAGCTGGCCCTTGGTCAGTATTTTCTGGATGGTTAATTGTGTAAGCCTCAAATCCAATTAAAGTGGTTTAAAATGTGCTTTGCTGTGGTGAACTCTGTTCCTTTTTTCCTAGCTGAGAAACACTGAGGACCAAATATGGTCCACAGATACCTTTGTTTCTGTGCTTATGAATCTCTGAACTCAGTTGTTTTCATAGACAAAAGTTTCAGCAGAGTTGTCATGTTTTGCCTTGAGGCTTCTACATCATTTCATTTCACGGACTGTGCTCGGGAAATAACCCCACAGCAAGGAACAAGGTAACCTCAAAGCACAGACTCTGTTTACCAGGAGCTGCAGATGGTTGTTGAAGGAGTGGTTTCTTTGTACTATTCTGTTTTGGAAAGACAGATTAGCCATTCCTGAGAACTATGATTATGGGCAGCGTCGGGGTATGTATTTCTAGCTGCGGAAGGCACTAACTGAGGAGATAGTTTGAACACAAACAGCACATGTTTTCAGAGGTTTTTATGGGAAGACAGACCTACTACATCAATAGGTTGAAAAAGCAACTTCTATAGCAATATGTAGAACAAATGTTCATTTTTAAATGTATTTTTTTATTTTAAAGAGAATAAAACCAAACAAAATAAAACAGAATAAAGACAAAATCAAGACAAAACAGTGAAAGTGATGTAGAACTTCAAAACAGCACAATAGGAAATCAACAATGGCTACCACCATGCGTCTTGTTATCTTCAAAATTGCTGCCCATATCCGCAGAATAATAAAATCAAACAAAACAGAACATTTAATAAAGCAAAATAATAAAATAGGACAAAAAACAGTGAGTAAAATAACAGATTTCAAAAACAAGACAGAAGGAAATTCCCCAAATTTGCTATATTGCATATTTTATCCCTTTAATAGATGTTCAGACTACTATCCATAGGCCTGAAAAATTGACCAAACAGAACAAATTTTAGGCTGTTTTTGTACCTCCGTTGCTATCAACTCAGCCTATCCTCCAAATCAGTCTCAGCTGGTTGCTCACCGGGGATGGGGGTCAGGTGGGGTAGGTAAGTGTTCTTATCTCACAACCCACGTGTTGGTCAGCTCATGGGAAGGACGAATTGGCTTCTTGTTTCTCCTTCCAAGCCCAGAACGACTCAAATGTACATGTTTGTTTAAATATATCTCACAAATGTGCGAGGAAGACCAATCTATCCTAAATGGTTAATCTTGGCTATGTCAGGGTTGGAGAAGGTGCCTCAGCACTATAAATATCTTTTTTGTGTGCCTCCATATTATTTTATTTGTCTAAACATGAATGTGTTTTGCACTTTCAGAAACGAATAAAATAACTTTTCTAATGAAAAAAAAATTTAAAACACCAAAAAGCTTCCTGTGTTTGATGGGGTCTGCTTCTTACATCATGAATTTGTTCATCTCAGTTCTGTACATCAAGTATCAGCTGCCAGGCTGGTAATTAAAAATCAAGAAGTAAAGATTTTAGTCTGAAGATATTGGTGATGTCATGGCTCCTGCACCTGCCAAATATACACATAAATCATGATTCCCATGCAACAGTTAGGACTTTCTTAACCTCTTTATTCAGGAATGTTGGTGAGGTACTTGTTATGACTCAAGTACTTTGTTTACATTGTGCTGTTTTATTCTTCAATGTAAGTGTTATTATCCTTATAAGATGTAGGATCCAGGGTTGGGGATTTAGCACAGTGGCATAAGCTCCTGCCTGGCAAACATGAGGTCATTAGTTTGATCCCTAGTGCCAAAAAAAAAAAAAAAAAGATATAGAATCCTGGAAGATCAGAAGAGTTGCCCAGTATCACAGAGTTGATAAGAAGCAGAGGGCAAGTTTGAGCCTCCTCTTTCCCATGTGGTGCTCATTTCCCCACTATTTGCTACCCTGTTAGGAGCATAAGTTTTAGTAACAAGTCCTGCAACTGGTTCCATAGCTAAATGAAACTATTTTCAATAGCAGCCTAATTCTAGGCTCCTGCAAAAGGCTTTTGTGCTCCAAAAAGATTTTCTTTCCTTGTCCCACTGAGTGAGACATCCTATCCCCTTCTCCAAACATGAAGTCCCTTAGAAAATGCATGATATGTAACATCATTATACATCACAAACTAGCATATGAATGAATTTGTTATCCAGAAACTATATCTGCAAAGGAATGAGACATGAGGCCAGTGAGATTTGATAGGGAGGGGAAAGGAGTAGAGAAGAAACAACTGTAGAGCACAGACAGGAATATCATGCAGAGGTGTCATTGTGGGGCTGGAATAACTGAGGAACAGCAAGAAGCCAGTTGTAGAAAAAAGAGCTATCACTAGCAAAACACATCAGCAACCAGGTCAGGCCTGAGCTCAACTGCTGTCTAAAAAGTCATGGATTTGCTTATGCATGGTTCATTCTGCATTGATCACACTACCCATACCAGTGATGAGTTCTGCAAATACTGCCATTTGTCACCAAGGCAGTAGGGCATTGATACTGTGACTCAGTAGCTAGAAATTGGTCACCTCATCAAGAAACAATTCAGATGGCACATTCTCCCATGAGTCTGTTCCAAGTCTTTCTCAGATTGAAGGCCAGGAGCAGTTGGTTTACAATGCTGTCCTAGAACTTTTCTAGTACTAGATTTCTAGAAGCAGCTCTAGTCCAAAGCTTCAGCTTCTCTCTTACTTAAATGGGATGTTCTGTTCTTCTCATAGAAAAAGCGCACCTTGAAGGGCTCCATCGAACTCTCCCGAATCAAATGTGTCGAGATTGTGAAAAGTGACATTAGCATTCCATGCCACTATAAATACCCATTTCAGGTAAGTTCATTGTCCTAAAGTGGACAGTTCCCCATTCCCTGGGCCATGGTTAAATTCCTGTCATTGCAAGAGAAAGTGAAAAAGGCGTGATTCCAGTCCAGACTTAGAATTTAGACCAATCCTACAAGGAAACTTGTGCATTGTTCTTCCAGTCAGTGACATTCATTCATCACTTGTTCCACAAAGCCTACGCACAAAATCTTGAAAAGGCTGCTATTCTTCTTCCCTTTTTCTCCCCTGCCTCAATGAAAGTCCTAATTACTCTGCTTCTGGGAGAAGAAAAAGCTTTTATCAATGACCTCAAGCCTCGAGTGCTTTAGATACAGTTCACTCATGAGGCCACAAATTGTGATCCAACGTTAGAAATTTCTTGCCATTTTCAAGGGGGAAAGCCTCAGTTTTTACAGTCTGAGGGCTATCAGAAAATGGTGTCTTGTCCAAAATCTTAACCACTAGCAATATGTGTTTTTTCCTATTTCATTGTAAACTATTTAAGATTAAGTGGTAGTAATATTCTAACTCCCTGGTCACACTGGTCACATTGCCTGTGTTCAGTGGCCATATGTGACTAACAGGGCTAGTATTGGACAACACTTTACAGAATATTTCTCATTGCAGAAAGTTCTACCGAACAGTGCTGAAGGCTGTCCCTTTGGAACCTTTGTCTGGGTTACCACCCTTGGTATTTATGGCTCCAAAGGTGATACATCTCAAGTGATACATCTCAATGCCTCATTGTTGCTTGGCATCCTGAGGGGTGAATATTCTGTTTTTAATGTGGTAGAGAAAAGTGACCCCTGTCAGTTGGAATTTTTAGGACTGAAAGTCAAAGGAATGACATTGGTTTCCCAGTTATTAAAAATCTCAGTTGCAAATGAGTGCATGAAAAAAATGATGAAATTCAAAGATCTGTGCCCTAATTGATAGTATTATACCAGTGTCAATTTCCTGCTCTAAAAATGTACTGAGCACTAGCCGCATAAGAACTGTTCTTAGCTTGGAGCCTTATAAGAATAGGTGACAGGTTATCTGTCCAATCTTGATTATACAGGTTGTTGCCTGTGATTGGGTCTAGGGTAAAAGCTTGAGACCTTCACTAACTTTCAAAGGGAGAAATATTTGAAATCAGGCCGCATGCCTGTAATCCCAGCAATCAGGAGGCTGAGGCAGGAGGATCACAAATTTGAGGACAGCCTAGACTACACAATGAGTTCAAAGCCAGCCAGAACTGCATAGCTTGAATCTGTTTTTTAAAAAAAGAGCTGGGTTTATGTAAGATGTTATCAGTGGGAAACGTGGGTGGAAGCATACAGGAACTCTGTAGTATTTTTGGAACTTGTGAATTTTAAACTATTTTAAAACAAGAAAGGTTTTTTACAATTCTTATTACATATTTGTCATCTAACAACTTTTACATATTCTGGCAGAATATTTTGTTAATCCCTGGAAACTTAAGAGAAATAACTGTGCCACCTAAGCAAGCGAACTTTCTCCTGCCATCTTAACTTAGCAATTTCTTTCCTTGTGGCCTGAATTTCTGAGACCCCGAGCTGGGAGGGTCACTTTCTGATTTCACAGCACATAAACACCTAGCTGAGAAGGACACTGGTTCCCTAGTCATCCAGATTTGCTTATGTGATGACAGGCACTGGAAGCCCCATGCTCAGCCCTGTAGACTAATTAGAGCTGTTGTTATTACATCTTTGGACACCCTGCTCACCTGGACTCTGTGTGTATGTTTCTCTAGGTTGTGCATGACAACTACCTCCTGTATGTCTTTGCTCCAGACCGCGAGAGCCGGCAGCGCTGGGTGCTGGCCCTTAAAGAAGGTAACTAAACTCTGTGCCATTGAGGTCACTGAAACTCTTGATCTCATGGTAGACACAGGTTCTGTGATAAAATACAGTGTGGTTTGAAAGCCCCTGATTTCAAATATTTCTCCCTTTGAAAGTTAGTGAAGGTCTCAAGCTTTTACCCTCGACCCAATCACAGGCAACAACCTGTATAATCAAGATTGGACAGATAACCTGTCACCTATTCTTATAAGGCTCCAAGCTAAGAACAGTTCTTATGCTTTTAAGTGGTTCATTTTAAAGGATTACATTTACTATCTAGGCTTTTAAGGAAAAGTTTGCCAAGTTCTGGCATAGTGACCAGATAAGAGTCAGGCTTTTGAGTTGGATGACTCCTTTCCACATAGTCGTTTCTTGGGCCAATTCTTAACCACCCTGGGCTTCAGTTTCCATGTCTACTAAACAAGGAGAGTGGCAGTAATAACAATACTTGCCTCTAGGGTCAATCCAAGTATAAATCTTAACCCATATTCAGCACCCAATAAATATTAACTAGTTTTAAAGTCACTCAGACCGTCAGGGTCTTTCTTAAGCCTTACCTACCTGCAATATAATTAGAGCTAGCACAGTGTCAGAGTCCTGTGATGTAGAGCAGGCTGCTAAGGTGAAAATCTCCAGTTATCAGTGTATAATCTTAGCCAAGTCTCTTGACCTTTATGAGTCTCCATTTCCTCAGGTATGAATTTTGACTATTAATAGTCATAGAGTTGTGAGAGCTAAGTGAATTAGGACATTAAAGTACTTAGAACAATACCTAGCCTCAAAACACCACTGATCAATATTCCTGATTATTATATTATCATTCTTCAGCCCAAAGCATCCCATGTGTCCGGAAGTCTGGGCTCAGGTAGTATTCTGTCTATAATGAACTATGGGAGCTAAGGATACAGAGGTCTGAAAAATGGCAACAAAAAGTCTGTCCACTTCCACAGTTGCTGTGTGTCTCAAGTGAGATATGAACAGACAAGTGCTGGGTAAACTGGAAAGTGCTCTCACATAACAGCTACAAGAATGGACCTCACCATGTCCACTGGCCAGCCTCCCTGTGTGAATGGGTTTACATGAAGGATATTGAGGTTAGAAAAAGTGCTAGAAATGAACTGTCTAGTTCTGTGGGGTTTACGCCTTTTTTTTGGCAGTTCCAGAAGCCATTTTTTTCCTACCAAATTCTTACCTCAGAGCCACATGTCTCTAAGGGACAAAAGCAAAATTGCTGTAGTTGAAGGTGAAAGTAGTGATGAGGTAGAAATCCCGTCCTCTCTTCCGATTACTGCTAATGCACCAGTGGGGTCCATTGACCTAACAATAAGTTTACCAGTCTCATTGTTTAGCAGCGAAAAGGGAGGCTCAAGATGATGGTTCACTTGACCCAAAGACACACACAACCAACTGGAGGCCTAGCCAGAGAGGAACCCTAACAGAATGGTGTGGAAATAACTCTTCCGCTGGTGTCCATCCCTTTCAGAAACAAGGAACAATAACAGTCTGGTGTCCAAGTATCACCCCAATTTCTGGATGGATGGGAGATGGAGGTGCTGTTCTCAGATGGAGAAGCTTGCAACAGGTTGTGCCCACTATGATCCAACCAAGAATGGTAAGACTGGGAATCTGCTTTCATCTTTGTAAAACCCTGTGAAGACAAAAAGTTGTCAATGTCCTGCCATTGAGAGTGTCATTGACTGAATGCTACATTTTCAGAGGAAAATCCTCTTCTGTCTTTCCTACCAGCCTGTTTATGCTTTTTCACCTCAAAGCTCTTGCCTTACATCTCTTGGCTACTCAGAGTGCATCCTTTGACCACCTGCAGCAGCACACTCTAGAAAATTACTAGAAATGCAAATTGTCTGGTTTCAGCCGAGATCTATTGGATCAGAATGTGACCTGGAATAAGATCTCCAGGAGACTCATGTGGACAGTAAAGTTTGAGGAGCACTGCTATAATCTCATATTAGGAAATTTAATCAATTTAAATTATAGACACAGTCTTAAGTAGTACAGAATAATATTCACTTGTCTGTTACAATGACATCATATGACACACATGTCTATAATTACACAAATTTCAACTGTTTTATTACACAAGTTCAACTTGGGAAAGACGAGAGAAAAAAGAAACTTCATTTCATTGTGTGGCTTCTTCCTACCCCTCCAAATTTGCCCTCTATCCTACCCAATCTCAGAGAAAAAAGAGTGCACACTCTAACTGCAAAGTGAAAAAAAGTAAGTTGTTTATCAGCGTTTGATATGAGAGGCTGAAGTCCTGGTGACTGGAGTGCAAAAGCTGATTTTATGTTACGTCTTGACTTTGGGACCCTCACTTCCCTGTCTAATGCACGGCCGCATGTTTTATATCTTGTTTCTCACAGCGCTCTGGGGTGGGTAGTGTGATGTCAAAGACGTGGCTGACCTTGAGCAGTTAAGTATGTGCAGGGCTGTACAGCCAAGAAAGGCTCCGCCAAACCATCCTAGACTAGCAGGCTGGGGCAGGAGGATTGCCACAAGTTTGAGGCCAGCCTGGGTTCTATAGTGAGTTCAAGGCTGGCCTGAACTGCATAGCAGGACCCTGTCTCCAAAAAAAAAAAAAAAATAGGAATGATGGCCATGCAAACTCTTTTGCACCATTTTCCTCTCCTCCCAACCTTTTTTTTATCAGTTACCTTTTCTCATCTGTCAACTTCTTTTTTGCACTAAGTTTACATATATTAGATTGACAACCCACAGTGGACGTAACACGTGGCTGGGTTTTCCGTGGCTTCCTGAGTCAGTAGCACTTTTAAAACCACCACTTCTCACCCCATACCTTGGGGGGAAAAGTCTTATAAGGGTAGCAGCTCTTTGCCTCAGGAAAATCACATTTAGCAAGACTTAGAAGTTAGTGATCCGCATTTTAATCCTGTTAGCCCTACTCACAAGAGCCTGTATTTTGTAGAAAAGAAATGAAAGGCTTGACATCAGTGGGATCTATCATACTAACAGGAGGGCATGGGCTTACTTCTGTAAAAGCCCTCTGCAAAGCTAGTGATCTACTCTCTAAATTCCTGCCAGCACTTCCTGTGGGCCTCTGAGGGGCCTCTTGGCCACTGAGGCCTCTAATATCCTCATCTCTAAAATACTGGGGAAGGTCTTAGTGACCTAAGATGAAATACTGTCTCTGCCCCCTTCCACATCTGAAATGCTGTGAGTCTGAGTTTCCAGTTTTCACCATGCATGTCACAGCTACCCCTACACACTGTATACAGGTGTTCTTCCCCCGAGAACTGCATGAGTGACAGCAAGTGTTGGAGCACCCTAATGAATCACCATAACTATGCTTGGTCACAGCAAGCTCCTCTCCACAGGAACCCAGGGGTTAACAACTCTCAGCCACCTCCACACACGTGCCACGCTGGTAATGGTGTTGCTTCTGCACAGCAACATGCTGCTGTGCCCACCACACAGAGAGGCACGTAGCACCTCCTTACACCATCCTCTTGTGCCTTAAATAAATAACCTCACACACATCGTTTTAACTGAAGTGGGAGCAGTTTTTAAGTTTTAAGCTGTGAACATAGCACATGGTCATACGCTTGAGCGGAAGGCTCGTAAGATTCTTAGTGTTGGCACATGGATAGTGCTGGGACAATGAGCCCAGAGCTTTAGAGTAGAAACAACCATCTGGGATGAGTCCTAGCCCTGGGATTTCATGCCTGTGTGATTTGATGTTTTTTAACTGCTTTAGGCCTCTGAGGCAGCTTCTTCATCTATAAATGGGGTAAGGATAATGATATATTGTGGGCTGGTTAAGAGATTTATAGAAGTGGCAGAACATTCCTATCGCTCCTGCTGGTACTTGAGTCCTTGATAAATGGTCTTTGTGTCTACTGGTCTTCCTTATTTGTGGACTAAAGAATCTGCGGCTGATATACAGCTGCGTGTGTGTGTGTATCTGGAAAGAAGCAGAAGTGGTTGAGTGGAAACAGATCCTACTCATAGTCACATCCACTGGCATATCACATCAGTGTCGTGCAGAGGGAGGGGAAGAAAGGGAAGGTGAAAGACCAGGGTCACAGGAAGAAGAAAGAGATAAAACAGAGTGTCCCAGGCTAGAAGGAGCCCAGGCTCATCATGCTGGACCTGGGGGGCTGGGACCTCAGTTTCTTGGCTCCAATCTGAGAGCTAATAGGAACCATGCTTCTAATCATGTGGGGTATGTTAATTATATACCCAAATTAATACCCTGGCCTGCCCTAGCTTAAGGATTCAGCACTGAGCAGGGCTCCAGTATCAAGATGTGAATCTCTCTTGCTATCCCTGCTGTGAGCTGTCCATCTTCAAGTTCACTTCCCATGTGGATGAATGAGGACCTCACACCAGCCTATGGAGCCCTTTCTGCTTATCCCTAATTATTAAAGAGATCTTTGTACTGAACTGAAGCCCATATAGTTACACACACTGCTGGACACACACACACAGCTGTGGCCCACTGATTCCAGACCTGACCTTTGCAGTGCCATGAAAGAGACATAGTGAAAGATGGAGATGAAATGATGAAAGGAGGCACAGAGGTAAAAGGAGAGAGAGAAAAGAAGAGAAAGGAAGAAAGGAGAGAGGAGAGCTAAAGAGAGAGAGGTATGGAAACAAGAGGAATAAACACAGAAACACTGGAAGTGTGTGGTTTGGGGGAGGCAGCAAGAATGAGCAGTCAGATGCTTCAGGCAGTGAAAACCAGATCCCATCCCACTCAGAAAGCAGCACACTGACACCCTCCTCCTCTTTCTCCTCCTCCTCCTCCTCCTCCTCCTCCTCCTCCTCCTCCTCCTCCTCCTCCTCCTCCTCCTCCTCCACCTCCACCACCACTTCCGGCACACAGCAGCATTAGGAAACCAGTGAGTCACCGTCCCCTGAGTCACCTAGTTCCACTCTGGGTGGCAGATAAGTTCATAGAAATCTCTGTACCAGAGGGAAGGGCCCAGGTGCCACCTTCCTCTCCAGTCAGGCTTTAATGTTGACTTCTTGAAGTTTCTGGTGCCTCCTAGAAAAAAGGAATTGGGAACCAGCAGCCTAAAGACATAAAAGGCAGGCTCTGCCAAGGCCGCCGCTGCTTGCTCCGCGTCTCATTACCTCTTCGCAGCCCCTTCTGTTCTTTTCCTCAGGCCCCTTTTCTCTGAAAGCCTGAGTGTCTCATGCTCACTTGCTTTTTCTTTTTTTCATTTTAGCTTCAAAAAAGCCTCTTCCTCCTACTCCTGAAGACAACAGGGTAAGTGAGAGCCCATGTTCCAGGTACAGGAGGAAGTGGGGGCGGCAGCACTCTGGGTCTGGCGTCTGCCTGTGTGTCTCCAGCCCTGGATGCCTGCTGCACACTGCCGAGATCCACGGAACCTGACATGTCACTTTCTCGGGCTGTTCCTTGGTTTGGTCATTAAACATCCACTGCCCTGTTTTCACTCCACAAACACTTGTGCTATCAAACCATGTGTTTACTCTATGGCTTGCCATGTGATCGAGGGCTTTGGAGACCCACATTTGATAATACATCCCGTATTTCACTTTTACTGCCTATGTTAACACTGAATATCTCTGCTGTCCACTTCAGAGGGTAATAGTTTCGTGTTTCATTCCCACTCCCTTTCCTTCCCTCTCTCTCTCTATCCCTCTCTCCTTTCTTCCCTCTTTATTTTTCTGTGGTGCTGGGAATTGAACCTGGGGCACAGGCTAATCCAAACATTAGGCCACTAAGCTACAGCCCCAGGCCCTCATGCTCACTTTAAGTCTGGAGGCAGGAGCTCCAGGAGAGGTTTTGAGGCTTACCTAAGGCCACTTACCTACTTAGCAGGACCGAGTTTCTTCCTGGCATGATGCTCCAGTGGTGCTTCTCAAAGTTTGGTCCACAGAGTCATGGCAGGCATCAGCCTCACCTGAGAGCTTGTTAGAAATGTGAATTCTCCATGGCTACCCCAACCTGCTGCATCCAAAATCCCATGGAAGGAGCCTGTAATCTGGATTTAGATAGGCCTCCAAGAGATTCTGAGGTGCATCCAAGTTTGAGAACCACTGGGCTATAGTGTCTTGACTTACAAGACTTTGGTGGTGCAGCACTGGCTCTAGGGAAGATTATTCCATTAAAAAGGCAGGAAAATGGCAGAGGAATAGGCCTTTACTTTGTGAACACATACACATACACACATTCAAGTAACAGTCCTCTGTTTCAGGGCCTACAGATCCTGCTTTCTCGTGCTTCTTCCTGAAGAATGAGCCCGCTTTTTTCTTTTTATTTTTTTTCCTTTTTTCTTTCTTTCTTTTTTTTCCCCCTCCTCCAGCCAACATGTTGACATTTCAAAGCTGGCATCTTCCCCATCGGCAAAGCTAAATCCTCCAAAGCTCGGCTTGGTTTTGAGCTGTCATCAGCCCACTCGCTCACAAGCCAGAAGAGGTGCACTTACACTGTAGTGGAAGACAAGCTCTCTTTCCTTTCTTTCCTGAGATCTGAAGCCGTGGCAAATCCCCCCACCCTCCCCAGCTCCATCACAGCCCCACTTACACCTGCACTCCTAGGTGCCTCTGCTCCTGCTCCCTTTCAGTACCGGTGAAGGGGGAGTCCATTGCCCCTTGGACTCACTCCATTTGGCTTTCTTGAAGGAGCAGTGTCCATGCCATTTTGCACATCCTTACTGTGGGCTTATGCTTACGTTATAATTTCAAGTACACATCTAAAGCCATTGCAGGGTTTCTCTGACCCTGAGTCCTTGAAGCCACTTCTCTCTCCACCTTCTTCTGTCACTCAAGGGGCATGACATCTCAGGATAGCACCCAGAGAAACAGCATTTTGAAACTATGTTTTTAGGCCTCATGCTCCATGTAAGAATGCATGAGAGGCATCAGTCCTCCTCAGGGAGACAGAGGTTATTTTTGGTCAAAATGGACACTATCCATGGTAGGAATAACTGACAACTGCAGGTGTCTTTTGCTTGTGGGGAGTAAAGGAGCTCAAGCTCCACAGTAAAGCCCAAGTTCCTGTCTTTCTTGGCTCCTCACTGAGTCCTCTAAAGCCCCTCCCAGTCACCCAGAAGAGCTCCCAGAGGCCATTCAGGACATGTCTGCCTTATCCGTTCCCCAGCATCCCTGGGAGGCACCCTTTTCCTGATCCTGCACCCCAGGTTTTCTGTGAAGGCACCTTAGCCCATCAACACTCCCCCCAGTAGGGCCAGGAGAGCCCTTGTGTACAGGAAATGGGGTCTGAGGCCTGTACAGAGTGGCCAGCAAAGCCTCCCTAGCTCATAGGCCTCACATAGTCCTTCTGTTTGTACAGATGCCATCCTTGATTTTTCTAACATTAATCCAGTCGTTCTTGACCATATCAGACCCAGTGTTCCCTTTTGTGACAAATATTTTGTGTGTTTTTTTTTTTTTTTTTTTTTTATCAGTACCGGGGATCGAACTCACAACCACGTGCTTGCAAGGCAGGCACTTATGCCGCTGAGCTAAATCCCCAGCCTGACAAATATTTTGTAAAGTTCCTTTTTGTTATCTGAAAAGGAAGTCATAAGTAATACAGCTATTATAAACACATATTTTTAAAAGAACCTATACATGCCATAATTATAATATTAAGCACAGGGGAGAATTTATATAACACACATTTGTGTGTATAAATATTGAGATATGATTGTCCCAAAGTACATGCTAAAATAACCAGTTACTTTCGCCTGTAAACTGAATCCCATTGAATTTGGCAACTCAATGCAAGTGATATAGAAAGGTTTTATTGGTGACTCAAACACAATGTTACCGCCACTCATGCTATGATTTTCTGTCTTTGCCACATTCTGAGTTAAGTGTAAGCTCCCCTCAGTGCATTTCTGGGAAACTTAATACTCTGTGCCAGCCAGAGGTAGGACCTAGGCTTAAGGTCTTCGTAGACATTATAATTATAAGCAGATTTCTTACCACATGGGAAATCAGGGGGTGTTCACAAGTTTTACAGGATGTGGGACCTACAGAGCATTCTTCAGTGGTCCATGCCCACCAAATACCTATAACCACACTTCAACTTGTAACAACCCAGCTACTCTCCTAGAGATCTCTACAGAAAGGTACCCTATAATTTGAGAATTCTGATCTTTCTCTTCCTGGTGACTAACCAGTGAGCTGGACCTACTGTAGTGTCCTTCCATTTCTTTCCTGTGTCTTCTTCAGATGTCCTTGAGCACTATTTCTCTCTCCACTAGTTCCTCAGCAAAAGCCTCCTGTGCATCCATGCTTGTGTGTAGTGATTAATACACCACCACCATCACACCCCACCCCCGTTAGCTCCTTCAGTTTCTGTTCTGGGGACCCACTCCCTCAGAAAGATAAAACCCTCACACCCTTTAGCTCAGATAATTGTGTCACCAAATACTTCATCGTACTTAGAGAACTTGTGACTTCCTGACACTGTCACTTCCCAGCCAGTGACTCAGTCTGTCTCCATATTTACTTTGTGCCTGAATCTGCCAGCGTGTCACAAGTGTGTTCATCTTGAACTCTGGTGATTGATTTCTGATCTTGTCGTCACACTCCCAATTGTTCATCCCAAGAAAAGTCCCACAAGACAGAGAAGTAGTTCAGAGAGGGTACAAGAGAAAGGAAGGAGCTTGTGTACCAGTAATGCAGGAAGCATGAAGACTGATTTCCCTAAACTGGCCATATCCATTTCCCCATCTGAGCCTGTTTCCTATCCTACATGACAGAAAAAATTTAATGATCTCTTAGAGAAATTTCAGCTCTGAGTCTATGGACGTGGACACACCCACAAATTAAACCAGCCATGCATGGGCTGAGTGACTCCGTAAGGAGCACACCTCCTTCCAAAAGTGTGATGCCTCCAGGAGGGAGGCTGCAGACCAAGACATGGTGCAGACAGAGAAGCTTGTGGGCAAACAGGCTGCTTAGACTCCAGAGTGGTTGAGATTTGCCTCATATAATAAAATCCGATACTGATGTCTTTGCATCCTATTCAGCTGCACAATTCTAGCTCATAAAAAAGGCCGACAGAGGAAAGCAAATAATCTCTGTAAATGCCTCTGTGGATGAAGGAGCCAACCTATTGATTTGGCATAAATCTAGAGTAAGTCATACCTTAGGAATTTTCTGACCTTGCTTTGCATTTCACCTCTTTTTATGTCCTTGCTTGGTTTTGTTTTCCCTTCCCAGCGATCACTTCCAGAACCTGAAGAGATCCTGGTCATTGCCTTGTATGACTACCAAACCAATGATCCCCAGGAGCTAGCGTTGCAGCGTAATGAAGAATACTACCTGCTAGACAGCTCTGAGATCCACTGGTGGAGAGTTCAGGACAGGAATGGGTAAGGCGTCTTTGTGGTCCTTGACCCAGCATGTGAGGTGCCATGAAATGGAAGATTGCGCTGCAGTGATCCGGTCCCACCCTCCTCAGTGTGCCCTCCAGGCCCTCAGCACCCCATAGGGAAGGAACACAGGGGCGAGAGGAGGAGGGGCATAGCGAATGCTTCTTCTTCTCAGAAGGGGCCAGGAGGCAACCACTTGCCCTGCTGCCCTCTGTACCCGTCTTCAGTACTCCGGGCCCCAAACACATCTAAAAATCCCCTGGGTTTTTCCACCAACATCTGCAGTTTGAGAGCTTGGAACTTGTTCTGCCCACCACTATTATTCTTGAGTGTTAAAGTGCTGTTGATGTACACCCATGATGAAGTGCTTATTTTTGGTGGAAGAAAAGTTATGCAGAGATGGCACAGATCGGTAATTATGTCAGGAAGCATCAGAACATACTAAAGCTTTATTTGTTTTGTTTTAAAGGGAATAAATCAAAACAATCAAATAAAATGAAACAGCAAAACACTGAAGATGATATTGGCAAAAACAAGATAGTAGGAAATTTATAATAGTTACTATACTGTATATTGTTAACTCTAAATAGATGCTCAGACTACTGGCTTTAGGTCTGCAAAGTCAATCAAACAATATAAGCATTAAGATCTTTCTTTACTTTAGTTGTTATTATCTCAGCCTGCTGTCCTCTGAATCAGCCAGTTGCTTGGGGTTGGAAGGAATCTTCTCTCCCTGCCTAGGCACCACCTGACTGCTTCCTGATTCTCTCCCACCTGACCCGGACTGTAAAGATTTAATTATGAGTACAATCATTGAACTAGCCATCCAGGTGACTTGTGGATGTAGTAAGGATAAAATTATTATTAATTTAAAAATATGAAAAAGGAAAACATTCTAGCTTTTTCTATATCAATATTTTATTTGAAAAAAATAATGTAAAAGAAAAAAATTCAGACTAGGAATGTAGCTCAGTGGCAAAATGTTTGCCTAACCTGTAAAGGCCCTCAGTGGGATTTCCAGCACTAAAGAAAAACAAAGGAAAGAAGGAAGGAAGGGTTGTAGGTAGAAATATAAAAGCTAAGCTTCTTCTTGACTCCTACCTCAATCCTATCAGTACTTTCTGGTGTGTCCTAGACAAGAAATATATACTGATATAAAGTGTTCTTTTTATATTTGCATTAAGATGATTTAATCTGTACTTTGACTTTCTTTTGACATTAAATGATAAATCTTAGTCATCTTTTTATATCAACACACATATCAACCTCTTTTTAACACACTTGTATACTGTTAGAATGTATGGTTTAATTACAAATATTTTAAGATTTTGTGATAGAACATTTATTGCTCAAGTTAGTTGAGTTTTTCTTGTTATTTTAAACAAGTATGCAATGAATATATTGCATTTGTTGATACAGCCTGGCAATCTTTTGACTACATTATAGAACATTTTAAATTGTTGAGTCAGAGTATGTGACAGTATAATTTTGATAATAATCTCCTCGAAAAGCTTGCCAAATTTACATTGCCCCCAAAGGGTTAGGGATGTGCCAACTCTATTATTAATCAGATAAACGAAGGAAGGGAAGGGAGAGAGAGCGAAATCTGATGAATTAGAAAAAAAGAGGCATATAAGTATTTTTAAAATCAAGGCTTGACTTTTAAAATCCTAAAATTTATAATCTTGAGATTGCTTCTCTTTAAGTATCCGCATCAACCCCACTGTAGGGACAGATGCAGGAGAGGTGAGGTGCGTACAATGTGGTTAGATGGAGAATGGTGGGTTGAAACACAGTAGCTTGCTAGCTAAGAGCAGAACTCAAAACTCTTTAAACTGGAACTTCTCATTCCAGTTGACTAGGAGGGGCAATCTAGATTCTAGACTACCTTGGTCTACAAACACCGAGGTCTTACTCAAAAATGTATCAGTTCAATCACCTGACATTTAGCAACCCTAATGTGCCAGGAACTCTGCAAGGTCCTTCCCCCCAATGACAGTTTGCCCTTCTTTCAGTGGTCTATGGAAAAAGACTCCATCTGCACTTCAAAGGGCAGGGAAGAGGAGCCCCTGGAGGCAGCCTGTGGGGGAACTTGCTAGGTGTGCTTTCAAGTGGCCTGGTTTTGGGAAAGCACATGAATGGGGAGAGATATGACTTGGACTTTAATATCAGGACTCTTCATATGTGACTGTGGTCAAGTCACTTACCTTCTGGGAACCCATTTCCTTATCTGTACAATGCAGATGATATCAGCTTTTTCCATCTTACTGCCTTGAAAAAAAAAATCAGTGAAAGGATGAAAACGAAAGGCTTTGTAAATACTACATATCCCCATGGCTGTGAGGATTGTCAGTTGTGGAAATAGCCCAATTTAGGTTGGCATATTAAAACACAATTATTGTATTCAATAGCAAAATATTGTTTGTTCTACTAATATAATTGTCAGCATATAATGCAGCTAAAAAAAAAAAGACAGAATTAAAAGAAATTCCAAAAAAAGAAACAGAGAAGGATTAGTAAATTTCACAAGCTGATTCCCATTAATTAGCCTTGAGTACCATTTAGGATGATTCTGAACCTAGATGCTTGATCTTCCAAGAAATTGTGCCATGACTGATTAGTCACGATTGTCTTGAAAACAGTTTAGGTCCCTTGATGTTTTTAGGTAAGGGCCAGATGCCTGGAAAACAGAAGGGACTTTGCTCTCACAGAGTATGAATATGAAAGTGCCTGGAAAACTGTAAAGCTATTCATAAATGTAAAAAATGTTGATATGCTTATTAATCTCTGGGGTTTTTTGTGCACAAATACTAATTGCTGATCAAAATTGCCTTCACACCCCCAAATACAGTCTGGCTTTATTTTTTTTTTCTCTTGCTTATATAACTGAAGAAGCTCAATCAAGGAGTCCTTGAATTAAAAACTTATAATATTAAATGGGAACATCTTTTAGGGACTGTGGTTAGAAAGTAGTTTCTTTAATTACATTAGTTTCCTGGCTATAAAATGATGGCACTAAAGTGGAAAAAAGTACTGATTATCACACACACACAAAGTTTCATTTTGAAAAATAGAATCTAAATATATTTGTTTTTTGGTCTTTTTGAGTCAGGGTCTCTCTATGCAGTTCAGGCTAGCCTTGAGCTCACTTTGTAGCCCAGGCTGGTCTCGAACTCAAAACAACCCTCCTGCCTCAGCCTCCCAAGTGCTGGGATTACAGGCATGAGCCACCACACCCTGCTCTGTAATATTTTTTCAGTAGAAAAAATTTCACAATAAAGAGAGATAGCAAACAATTTTTTAAAGTAAAATGGACATTTGTTATGTATTATATTTGAATAATGAAATCTATTGCTTTTAAACAATAACAAGCTTTTGTTACTTCTACCAATTCTCTTACTCTAAAACTTTAAAATACATCTTATCGCAAATGTCAAATACTCTGAGACTTCTTCACCTGGAACTGACTTTTGGTAGACTGAACCTACAAAATGGAGATGTATTAATCAGCTCTGTATTAGTCTAACCACCAATTTTCTTTTTAACAGGCATGAAGGGTATGTACCAAGCAGTTATCTGGTAGAGAAATCTCCGAATAGCCTGGAAACCTATGAGTAAGATACTTTGTTTTTGGAAAAAATACCTACTACCTAGGAATCCTCCCTTGCTTGAGAAAGTTGTGGTTGACTATAATAATCAGATGGTTTCTTTTCTTGATATGCTTTCTTCTCTGTTACTATCTAATCCGCTAAACAATAAAAGAAAGAGGATGGGGTTGATATGCTATCTTCTTCTTTTATCAAAGGAATGATTCTCAGGTATCTGAGAAGATTGCAGTAAAAAGAAAAGATTCTATTGGGAACTCCAGAAATATTGAGGAAAAAAAAAACCCTATGAAAACTGGCTCACATATAAACTGATATAAAACTTAGTTTACTGCATGTGTTACTTCCAATACTAGGACACCTTAAACCAGTAGGCATTAAATGTCTGTTTAGCCTATTAAAAGTGTTTATTTGTAAGCTGTCATTTAGGAGGAAAGCTCCCAGAGGTATAATTTTAATGGAAGTCCAGAATGTTTAGTGAAATTTGAGTGCACAGTACAAAGAACCTACCATGCACACCTGTGTCCTAGTTCAGAGCCCTCAGTGATTCAGAAGTAGTTACACAACCATTGCAATGCTTATGCATACAGCTCACATCTTGGATCCTAAACAACACTCCCCACTGAAAAGAACCAGAACTCCTTGGTGAAATACCTTGAGCATTTTGAGGTTGGGACAGGAAAAGGACAAGATGAAAGTTTTACTTATTTTCATCAGATTATAAAATTATAAAAATAATGCAATTACTTTGCAAAAGATTTGGAAGACCGGCCTTAAAAAGAAAAATATGGCAGTTGTTTTAAAAGGATATTTGCTGAACTTTCAAATTGGTGTTAACTTTTTATAGCTGTACTAACACTTTTCTACTTATAACCACCCACTGACTTATGAAATAGAGAGGAAATTAAATGTTTTTGTAAAACTCTATCATGGAAAATCTCCAACATGCACAAAAACAGAAAATAATATGATCAATGCTCCCAAACCCAGCATCAACAATTATAAATATTTTGCTAAATCTGATCTCTTTGTGCCTCTCCAAGTGAACATTTTACTACCTAGAAATGAGTAATGCGTTTGCTTTTGAGTTAGAAAACACTGATAGAAACAGAAAGTGAATAGATGATTTGTCTGGTGTTATTTTTTCTCAATTAAAGCTTAAAAAATACTATTGACACATGACTTTTTCCTGCTTCCAGGTGGTACAATAAGAGCATCAGTCGAGACAAGGCTGAAAAACTTCTTTTGGACTCTGTAAGTCTCCTTAACCTATCTGTTGAATTAAAATAAATGGCTGCATACTGTGGCTATGCCAATGCAGTCGGTTGGCATGTTAGAGTAGCAACAGTTTTCATGTCCAGGGGCAAATATTCTGGAAGGTTTCTTGACCAGCGACCTTTAGGGAGGAAACCGGGGGAGAGCTCCAGACCATGGTAACAGCACGGCACCTGCGGAGTCTCCACCCTGGGAGCTATCAAGACTCTCGCGGTACGCCCACTGCCCTGCTGGCTCTGGAATCAGATTCTGCGTGGCTGGTCTGTGTGTTCAGAGGAAATGTGGCACTTGTTTTCACTTACTTTCCTCCTCAGCAGTTTTTCCTCTAAAGCCATTCACTATGAACAGCAGGACTGACCTTACCCAGGAATATCAGGATGAAGGGAGAGGGGTGCAAGAAGGCACAAAGCGAGGTGAAGTGAGGTTGAACTGTGTTCTGGTCCCTGTTCTCCAACTCAGTAGGCTCTGGGATAATTTTTCCTCTTCTGGGATTGTGTCCTGTCTGTGTTGCCTCCTCCAAGATGCCTTCCATACCTTCCCAGTCCCTCATCACAAAGTGTTGTTTCTGTCACCTTGGAACCTCTTGGTGCAATGTTACTATTTCTCCAATGACTCTGTTCTTACTCTGTCATGGCGCTTTTGATTTCCTCTCCTGACTTAATTCCATCTAGTTAGAGATGTAGTTCTTAAAGAGTAGGTACTTAGTAAATCACTTAGTACCCTTTTAGTATCTCACACACCGTGTGGCCTGCATCTCAGGCAGGAGCCTTATCCAAAGCATCAGTTTATCATATTTGTGTGATTCTAAGACACCATCAGAATGCGCTGTCAACTTAACAGTAGTGTTTCAAGATAAGAAAGGACCCGCCTCAGAATGAAAGTTGGCTGTGTATCAGAGGCACTTGGAGACACGCTGCATATTGCAGCTGGACAAGGCTACAACCATCAATCTGTCTTTTTATCACAATTTACCTTTGGTGGAGATTATTTTCCATAAGGTCACGTTTGACTTGCATAGACAGAAAGAAAAAAATATATATTCCTAACACAGCCAACCTGTCTCAGGTGAAGATGGGCAATGGAATTCAAGCGTCCAACAGATAATATACTACAGCATGTAATAATAATGACCAATCATAGCCCTAATAGTCCTTGTACTGGGATTGTATTCCAGGAACAGTTCTATGCGCTCTACTTAATCTTTTCAGCAGCCTTATGAAGGTACAGACAAGGAAACTGGTGTAAATCAAGAAACATCTGGAATTCACAATGTTAAAGTCCCTTTAGAGAGCATCTGGTTCATGTACTTTATATTAAAGGCAGATAAATGAGGAATAAGTTCAGAAAGAAGATCATTAGCATAGTTTGGACTAAAACAGGGATCCTTCTTCAAACGTATGTGGCACACACAGCCATTAATGAAGACAGTATTAATCAAGGAATACATGAATTGCTTTCCATTTTTCTATCCCACCAGAGGTGATACATCACCTACTTTTTTCTGTTGTTACCCCTTTGTTTTTCTGGATAAGGTAGCAAAAGATAAAGTGAGACCTTGGGTATGTCCCAAGGAAGTACTTCGTGGCTGCACTGCACAAGCCAGTGCCCCCTTGCATAGCAGTGGAACAAGTGCTGACCTCTGAGGTCCTTGTGCCTTGGTTGTGACTATCTCTGAGCTCCTTGAAGGAAGTGGGCAGTAAAGCACATGCTACACTTTCATCGGAAACCTTGACGGCCTCGGTTCAAACCAGAGCTTCCTGATGCTATCATCAAATGCTTCCCACAGCAGCTACAACGTGCTCTTCAAAGATAACTTAATACCTATCAGCTCATCAACAAATAAACAAATGTGATAGATCTGGATGATGGAATGTCAATCTGCCATAGAGGAAGTGAAATATTGCCCTCTGCTATGACTGAAGTGAGCCTTGAAAACAGTATGCTAGGGGCTGGAGATTTAGCTCAGCGGCATAAGCGCCTGCCTTGCAAGCAGGCAATTGTGAGTTTGATCCCTGGTACCGATAAAAAGGAAAAAGACAAAAAAAAAAAAAGAAAAGAAAAGAAAAAAGAAAACAGTATACTAAGTGAAAGAGGCCCATCACAAAAGATCCTATGTTCCTATAGACCAGAAATTGCATAAATTGCTGACCCAAATGGACAAACCAAATTTTTGAAAAATCAGAATTGAAAAGAATGATTTGTAAGCAAAAGTTAAAAGGGTTTTTGATATTTTATCGAATAAAGAGTTAACATTTATATCCAAAACAGGATAAGTAAGAATCTGTTGGGTTTCCTTCTCTTTACTCTGCTCAAGATCCCACACACAGCTCCTCGCAGATGATAAATCCACAAGAAGGCCAGCAATGTGCAGAACATTGCATTTTCCAAAGATTTATAACAGTCTCCTGAATTTAAAAAACATGATATGTAAAATACCTAACATAACCTTGATGTGTGCAAAAGACAAAGTGAAAGGACTGTTTGAGGTCATCTTAGAGAAGCGAATGTAGTAGCTTTCTAATTTTGCTGAATTCTTCATCTACACTCAAGCCGCAGCAAGAGAGGGCAGCCTGAGCTCTCTGCCTGGAAACGGAAGGCTGCAGATGAAGAGCAGAGATCTAATCTGAGTGTCCAGTTCCAAAATAGATTCCTGAAATTTCCAAGGCAGATCAGAGAAGTTTGGGGATTTCAAGAGTCTGTTTAGTACTCAAACTCAAAATTTGTAAGTTTGACCAGGATGTACAATGATGTAAGAGCAAAGCATCTCCCACTTCCGTCCCTTACAGGGTTACAGCCAAGTTATAGGAAGCAAGCATGACTCTGTTGTGAGGATGAGCTTTTTAACCATCAGTGTAAAGAGAGAGACTACTGATTGGGACTGTTAAAAAGATTAGTTTTTGTTCAGTTAAATCAGCAATTAAGCCAGCAGCTACCAAACCCACAAATGCATGAGCTCATATGGCAAGTTTTCAAAATGTCCAGGAACCAGGATCCCCGTGCTGGAGATCTTGGTGCTTAGGCACGGGGTGGGGAGCATATTCTGTTACACTGTCATATTTTTTGTTTTCAGTTACTTCAGAGGATTGTGCAAATGAATGATTTGGGTCACATGGGTTTAGGGGGCGGGATCACATCAGTGGTTCTCAATCAGGAGTGAGTTTTGTCTTCTGTGAGACGCTTGATATGTAAAAGTAGAGGCCAGGATACTACTAAACTACCAAGAGCGCACAAGATGACCCCACCTCCCATGACAGAGAGAACAACTGGGCTGAGGTTGGGAGAACCCTGGGGTGGATTATCTTTATAAGATTCTTTTAAAAGCCATGAGTCTACATTTCAAACAATTACCTTGATTTACATGCATGTGTATGTGTGTGTGTGCCCATGCCCACCTTTGGGACCAGAAGATAGATGGGTTTATGTTGTTCTACATGATATCTAGTTTGTTCTGTATACTATTAGTGTATACCCACCACATGAGACCCCTGTCTGACTCTGACCTCCACTTAGGGCTCTCACAATGTCTATATTAAGTAAATAATAGGTTTTACAAATATTACCAGACAGAGTTATAGCTGGGTGGGAACAGAGCATTATGCAAGAAGGACTTAAAAGAGAGCTCAGATTTTTAAATTCTCATCAAGAATGAATAAGTTGGCATATCTATTTGCTTATGCATATTTTGTCAGAGCTGGCAAAATTTCCAGAGTTATGAGAGGTACACTCTTGGGGTGCTCCATTCTCCCAGCTCCCCTATGAAGCCAGGAGCACAATGCTTTTCCTCCTCCCCTGCAGCAAAGTCAGGACCTGGGAAGGGCGTGAGAAATATATTTCCATTAATGAACTGATGACGCTTCCAGGAAAGGAAGTTTTGTGCCTGTGTAGGGAATGGAGAAGCGGTTTCCAAATCTGCAAAATGGAGGCCTCATGTAGCAATAGCGTGGCTATGGGCTTTGCTCATATGCCAAAGTTCAATTCCCAGCTCTGCTACTTTCTAGTGTCGAGCAGTGGAAAAGCCACTTAAGCTCTCTGACACTCTGTATCCTCTTTGGAAATGGATGATGATAATGTCCAGGTTGCAGTGTTTTAGAAAATATCTGCAGAGTTCAATTCATGATGAGCCCTAAGAGGACAGGATGTGAGTCTGTCTGTTCTCACTCATGGCTAGAGTGAGCCCTAGAACTTGACCCATGCAGGATCTCAAGAAACAGCTGTGAAATGAATGAGTGAAATGGTAGCGACTATTACTGAACATCTGATCTGTGCCAATTAGTACTTTTTCCTTTCCCGAGAAAAAAGTGGAGCTGCATGCATGGGCCTGCTTTTCTGAGATCACTAACCTATCTCTCTTTCCAACCAACCCAGGGCAAAGAAGGAGCCTTCATGGTCCGAGATTCTAGGACTCCAGGAACATACACTGTATCTGTTTTCACCAAGGCCATTGTAAGGTATGGTACTGACCCAGCCACGTAGAGAGGGAGACACTACTGAGGTGGGGGTGGCTTGGGTTACACACAGCAAAGTCAGACAGTGCAGAAGGTAGAGGCTCCCTGGAAATGCTGTGGTCTGAGAAGGTCAAGGCCACAGAGGTTCAGAACAGAACAGAAGGTACTTAGAGCCACAGCAAGGGATATGTGCCAGTCTGTCTTCTTCTGCATCAGTATGCCTAAGAGCAGAGGTCTCAAGAAGCAAAATACTCAGCCCTACATTTGATGAGACTATCATTTCATTCCATATATAAAGGAATAAAATTGTATTTCCAACTGGAAGTGAAAATGTATAGATTCCAGTTCTGTCTCGACTAATAAACTCTATTAATTGCTTACTGTGTGGCAGGAAGTTTGCAATTTCCAGTCCTAAGAACCCCTGGGAGCAGGCATTACCCTTACTCAGCTCTCACAGAAGAAACCAGGAGCTCAGGCACTCAAAGAGCTGCTGGTGCCTCCCTAAGCCGGTAGGGCTGGAGCGGCCATGCCCCCTCCCTGTTCCAGCCTGGCAGATGACAAGAGCCTCACCAGCAGCATTTGCTTTCTTCCTAGAAAACGGTGTCTAGGGGCCTATCTAGCTTTGAAAGCTCATTAATAATAATTAAACAACTTGGTAAGCCCAGAATGCAGTAATTAAAAAAGGAAAGGAAGACAATTTTTGAGGTGTCCTTTGGGAATGTTTGTCAGAAGATAGAGGACATAAACAGAACCCAGGGGAAGAGCAGCATTTAGACAGGTGATGAGGAGCAAGCCACTGTCTCTGGAAGGGAGAGAACACAGTGAATGTCACAGAGGGGTTGCAGCTCTGTCATAGCCAGGGGACAGGGAGGAGAGTGACCTCAAACCTGTAAGATGCAGTAGAGATGAGAGAATGAGAGCTCAATTCTGGTTTGGGGGCCCCCCAGATCACCTGAAGTTCTAGAAATTCATAAGGATGATCCCTCATGCATAAAATAACATTCATTAAGATAATTTTAGCAAAGCAATATTGAAAAATCCACAAAAGGAAGAGGCATATTGGGCAAAGTCCATAGGAAACTAAATGCAAGCTTTTAAGAGACCTGTTGGAGTGGAGTCATGCAGGATATGCTTAATTCCTCCAGCCATGAGTTGTGGCAACACACGTGGAGTATTGTCCACTCGCCCATCCACCACTGCACTGCTGGCTAGTTGGGCCAGGTGCAGCCTCAGAGAACTTCTGAACACCACAGAGCTGGCACCAGCAACCAGTCTGTCCAGATTACTGTATATCTGCCATGCTTGTGGGAGGCTATAAAGACGATACAAATCTGGCAATAGTAGATGTTTTATGTCTCGATATTTTTCTTAATAATCACTGTGCCTCATTTGTTTAAAGTGAGAACAGCCCCTGTATAAAGCATTATCACATCAAGGAAACAAACGACAACCCCAAGCGATACTATGTGGCTGAAAAGTATGTGTTTGACTCCATCCCTCTCCTCATCAATTACCACCAGCACAATGGAGGAGGTGAGTTCTTAAGGCAAAGCCAAAGGGGGACACTTGCAAGGAACTTAGAAGGAAGTGATGAAAAGCCCACCTGGCTTCTTCATTCCAGACAAGCTGGCCTTAAATAATAACTAGATAGGCAAGCAGAAAAGGGTGCCAAACGGTTGATGATCTCAGCCATCTTCCATGAGCAAACTGTGCTATGGAAATAACTCTCACTGCCTACCTGTCCGTGTGTGTGACTCTGCCCATGGATAGTGATACCAGTGGTTAGACTTGGGGATTGTTTTCCAGAATAAAAGGGGCTTTTACATCGGATCTTTTTCCCAGTAATTTACTTTGGATTGGTTGCTACAGCAAAGCCCTAACCTTTGGCTTCTCAATCAACCCAGGCCTGGTCACTCGACTCCGGTATCCAGTTTGTTCCTGGAGGCAGAAAGCTCCAGTAACTGCAGGACTAAGATACGGTGAGCAATAAAACAAAAGAATGTTAAGCATTTGAGCTAAAACTCGTGTCTCTGAAAGTGAGGGACAAATTCTGAGTGGATTTCCACAAGCCTAACTATTCCCAGACTTCAAATGATCCTTAAAACAGGAATATATATATATATATATATATATGAAACTCTGAGTATTTTACAACAGTTTGTTTAAAGTGTATGTATGAGCACATAGACCAAATCCGTATCCTCTAGCTTTAAGGAACAGTTTGTCAATGTAGTGTTTATTAACAATGTAGTGCCTACTTTGAACAAAAGGCTCTTCTAACGCTTTTGGAATTGTATTAGAAAGAAATGCCTTAGGACTGTGTTTCTATGTATTTTCTAGAACTTTTTTATTATCCAGTTTGTCAGGCATTTTGCAAAGGCTATGAGCCAGCAGTATCCAGGATGTTTGCATAGCAGAATATTAAAAGTTTTTGAGAACTAGGGATGCAGATCAGTGGTGGAGAATGTGAAATTGATTTCTAGCAGTGGGAAAGAATACAAAGTTCAGTATGCTTTCGAGGGTGGCTCAAACATTTACCTGGTAAGCTCTAGGTCATGAGTTTAATTCCTGGTACCAAAAACATAATGATAATAAAATAAAAGCCTTTGGCACAGGGTGCATCTCCAGCAAGGCAGACCCTACCAAGTCCTTTTGTCCTAATGACCTGCTTCACTTATTTGGAATCATCTGCCTGGAACTTAAAACCATTTGAATTTACATCTCTTCAACAAGACCATGTATCTTTTTGTGTATCATAGGTTGGTGGTTCTCAAATTTCAGTGTGCATCAGCACCTTTTGGAACACTGATTAAAAATGTTAACTGCAGGACCCTGCCCAGTACTTACCAAAACACACACCCCGAGAGTGGAGTCTGCATTTTAAACAAGTGCCCTGGATGATTTTGATGAAGGTGGACAGAGAGAAGCATTTCCTCCCTAACCAGCAGCATGCCGGGCGCACAGCAGATACTCCACACAGTTTGCTCTTAAGTGTCTCCCCCAAAGAGAGAAGTCTGGCTATTTCTGGTATTAAATACCGAACATCAGGAAAATATAATGCATCTTATTATCCTTATGAAAATAGTCACCATAGAATCCTCAAGTGCTGGGTGAGATCTCAGAGATTATCTGGTCACTCATGCTGTCACTGGTAAAATTGAGCTCACATCCTTTCATTTGTTTATCAAATATTTATTGAGAACTGGCCATGTGCTGGGCCCTGTACCTTTGTACAGTTCTGTCTGAATGTGTCTCATTAACCGCTGCTGCTGCTTACCCAGCAGAGTTCTGTGTATATGGTGGATGATTCCAATGGATGGGTAAATGAATGAATGAATGAGTGAGTGAGTGAGTGAATGAATGAATGACAAACTCAAATGAAATTTGTCCTATGTGAGAAATAACCATAAAAATTTATAGAAAATGATTGGGTCCTTGCAATAATCCTTTTATTTACTTGCTTTCGTATCTTGATGAATGTCATTCTTCTCCTTTCCACATTACTTTCACACACACATTTCTAATGATTTTGAATGCATATTCCATATTACTGGTTTGGGGGGAAGATAATTATGTGTGATAGTTCCAAGTTTAGAATTTATACCATTTGCCATCTAACTATAGGCTAAATTTCTAGCGAAGCCTATTGTTTTCTGTACCCCCATAACTCATTTTCTTGCTTTGAAACACTCTCTCTCTTCCAGGAAAATGGGTCATCCATCCCTCAGAGCTCACTTTTGTGCAGGAGATTGGCAGTGGGCAGTTTGGCTTGGTACATCTTGGTTACTGGCTCAACAAGGACAAGGTGGCTATCAAAACCATCCAGGAGGGGGCTATGTCTGAAGAGGACTTCATCGAGGAGGCCGAAGTCATGATGTGAGTGGTGACAGCAAGGCTCTGTGGCCACCTGGAGAGGGTGCTTGCTGCTGGGTTCTTTATGTGTCACTCTAATGTCACACAGTGTCCCCTCCCGATGCAAATCCCAGCAGCAGCTTCTGTTGCACAGAGAACCGTGAACCTCCTCACTCTGGTTTAAAAGGCCTGTGTGGTTGGCCCTGCCCACCTTCGAAATTCATCTCCTACTCATCTGTCCTCTGATCTGTGACATGCCAGCTGCACTGCCTCTGTTTCTGTTGCCCGCCAGCTGATTCTCAGCCATCTTCAGGTCTTGACTCCAGTGACACTGTCATTTGCGTGAGTGGATGGAGTCTTGTCTCAAAACCATGAGTTGGACAAAGTGGCATTCAGCTGTCTAGTGCTGTAAAATATTCAGCATTTTTAAAAGCCTGAGTTTGGCCCAGCTCACCCTTGTCTTTTTCCTCTAGGAAACTCTCTCACCCCAAGCTGGTCCAGCTGTATGGTGTGTGTCTGGAGCAGGCCCCCATCTGCCTGGTGTTCGAATTCATGGAACACGGCTGTCTATCAGATTACCTGCGCAACCAGCGGGGGCTCTTCGCAGCAGAGACCCTGCTGGGCATGTGCCTGGACGTGTGTGAGGGCATGGCCTATCTGGAAAAAGCGTGTGTCATCCACAGAGATCTGGTACGTGCGCATGACTTGCTGTGGGAGGAGGAAGGGACATGGCCACTGAAACGCAGAATTACCGGGGCTGAGAACGCATTAGGAAAGAGCAAACCACACACTGCCTCTCTTCCCTTCTTAAGCTGCTTCTTTCCGTGCCCACTGCAGGAAGTCCTGGCAGGAGAATGTTCTGTGAGCACTCACATCTCTGCTCTCACCTCTCCCTTCCTCCAACTTACACTCTGAGTGTTGGTTTGTGTTCGTCCACAGTGGACCTACCCACCACTCCTTCTTAGTCTGTCTGAGCTTCAGTTTCTCCTGGTAAAAGAAGGAAATGGGCAAGCCCAGTTTTTCTTGGGGTTTATTGAATCTTCCGGAATCTCTGGTGTTCACAGCTCAGGACTATTCTTGTGACCTGGGGTGACTTGCAGGCTCTTTCACACACAGCACTCGCTGGAGTCCTATATCTCCAAAGCCCTTTCCAACACAGCCTCTGCGTGCGAAGGAGGGGCAGGAGCTCCCTGTGTGGGAGGGATTCTAAGAAGCTAAACCAGTTTTAGTCCATGGTAATCTAATGGGAATCCATTTCTTCCTATTGCCCATACGGTCAGCACTTCTATCCCGTCAGGCTGTGTTCAAGCATAACCCTGGGTCTGTTATCTAATTGGGATCCAGGAATGAAGATTAGCTTACTCATCCTAATAAGAGTCTTACACATTCCCATTCCGCCTTCCACTCCCTCGTAGCCGGTGCTGGGGAAGCTTGGTTAGTGTTCGGAAAGCCCCTCGGTGCCATTGCACAGCAGCACTCAGCGAAGCAAAGGCGCTGATGCTGGGGGACTCCTTCATCACCGACATCCGTCCACGGTTTGCCTTTCTCTGTTGTCTCCTCTCCAGGCTGCCCGAAATTGTTTGGTGGGAGAAAACCAAGTCATCAAGGTGTCCGACTTTGGGATGACAAGGTAACATGGGAGTGTGATGTCCGGGGTCTCAGCAGTGGGACTCAGGCTCCTGGACATGCTAACTTCGTCCCCCCTGATGTCCCCAGGTTTGTCCTTGATGACCAGTACACCAGTTCCACAGGCACCAAGTTCCCCGTGAAGTGGGCATCCCCAGAGGTGTTCTCTTTCAGTCGCTACAGCAGCAAGTCGGACGTGTGGTCATTCGGTGAGTGACACGCTGGCCCCACTCCATGTCCCTGGGACTGTGGCCCACCCATTTCTCTTTCAAATGGGAACCACTTACCCGGTCTCAGTATGGGGAGGGTGTCTGTGTGGGGACAGCCCCAAAATGTACATAGGGGCCCTTATGATTGTGTTTGTTCCTAGAGATTTTAAACTGGGAGGGAAATGAAAACCAAGTAGAAATAATATTCTGCTAGTGTCAGCAGCTAGCATGAATCTTTGCTTCAGGAATAAAGAAATTTGTGCACGGGGCACAAATTTACAAGGAAAGTTTTCAACTGAAAAGAGAAAACAAAAGGTTACAGAGCTCTGATAAAACCTTAAAACTATCCCCTAACAAAGAAATGTAAGAAAAAATAGAAAAAGGCTTTGCTTTGAGAAACTGAAGGTAGTACAGGTCTCAAGAGGTGTATCAGACTGCATGCTCACAAAAGGACGGAGGTGCAGTGGGGGGCTGGGGTCCTGTTGGTCTTTACCTCCGTCCTGGTTTGTAGCTTGCAGAGAACCCTCTGACCCATCAGTCCCTCCTGACTCTGCTCAGGGCTGTCTCAGTCAGGTGAGGCTCTGCTGGAACCCAAGGTGCCTTTAGGTTTAGGTCAGTGAAGATTTCTGGGTGTAACTGAGTGACCCTATAATTATCTTATCTTGGTAGCCTGGATCTTGAGGTGCAATGAGACAGGCTAAGGCAGTTAGGCCTAATAAACACTGTTTAACCAACTTTCAGACAAGTGTCCTCTAAATAACTCGCGTGCCTATAGGCAGAGCTGAGAGGATTTGGTGTTACAGAATGAAGGTCAGTTTCGTTCTATTTTTAGTTACCTAGTAAGCATCCGGTAGGCCCAAGTGAGTCACAGTGTTTAGGAAAAAAACTTTTTAAGTCCACATATGCCTCAAGAAAACACACACACACACACACACACACACACACACACACACACACCCATGCTTTTAATGGGTAACAGTTTAAGAACCCAAGAGTTTGTCTTCTATCCCTCTGACTCTCCTAAGGTCAAAAACTGCAGCAGTCTGAAAATGAAAACATCAGTGCTCTGAAGGCAGGGAGCTTTTGTGTTCAACATTATGTTTCAGTGCTCAACCCTCAAGGATTCAGGAAATAGAATTCCGGAAGTAGGATTCAGGAAATAGAACTCAGGAAGGAGAACACCGGAAGTAGGATTCAGGAAACAGAATTCAACAGCAGTATATTGAGTATCTACTATTGCCAGGAGTTAATCTGGGTGCTGAGACTGCAAAAGTGCATAGAACATGAAAAACCTCTGTCATCTTGGAGCTAAATTTTAGGGGAGGGGGAAGAGGCAGATAACAGCATAAATAAGCCAACCAACATAAGACACAGTCAAGCAGGGGTTAGTAAGGGCTATTCCTAAGACACTAATGGGGTAGAGGGTAGCTGGGGTGGAAGAAGAGTCTGCTTTAAGTCTTGTTATCTGACACGGAATGCGTGAGCAGAAATACAAGTAACAAAAGGGAAGTGTGAACATTCAAAGAGCCAGGGAACAGTGTCAGCAGTCAGCAAGGACAAAAGTGTGATCTGTCCAAAGACCAGGGGACACTGACTCGGTGCAGAAGCAGGTGATGCAGCTGGCAGGGGACAATGCGGAATCAGAATTCCTGAGAAGGCCAGATGGACATGAATAAGGGAGGAATGACTGATGGGAAGGACCCGGAGGTCTTGCTGGATTTGTCTTGTTACATCACAGTCCGCGCATGCTCAAGATGTCTGAGTCGCGTTCTTGTCTCTAAGAAGCACACCAGACACCTGCAGCTTAAAAGAGGAGAGGTTTGTTTCGATCCTGGTTAGAGTCTGTGACGGGCCAGCTCCAGGGCAGTGTGGGCTTGACAGGGGGGCACAGCAGAAGACAGCTGTCCACTGCACGGGAGCCACGAGGCCCAGAGAGACAGGACCAGTCTGGAGGGAGACAGACCTTTCCAGGTCACATCTCTGGTGACTCACTTCTTCCAGCCACACCCTCCCTCCTCACAGCAAGGCAGCTCTGTGGCCCTCCAGTTCTCTTCCAAAGCCTTGCCTGTGAGCCCATGAGGCTCTGGGGAGTGTTTTTGATCTGAGTCGTAACACAGGGTAGGCACAAAAATACACCAGATAACCTCTTTTATTTGGATTACAAGAAGCATTATACTGTGGTAGAAACTGGAGAGTGAGCTTGCCCTTCTCTGTGAAGGGCCTAAAAAGGTGTACTAGTGACCGGAACCAGGGGAAACCTGGCTAGTTAAATACCTCAGGAAAAGAACTAATTTAAACATCGTTAACATTTTAGAATGTCCATTTCCAGGAACCAAGATTGATTATGAGTATCTCTGATCTATCCTTAAAACAATCCCTGTTCACCATGTTTGGCTGCTACTTTGTTAGCCAGGTTTCAGTCATAGAATGAACTTGGAAGAAACTGCGCTGATGTCATTCTCGATGACAGGCCTCTCCTGGTGCATAGGGCTGGGAGAATCAGGGGCCACACTCCCTCCTTTCCCCCACAGGTGATGGAGGGGCCACACCCACCCAGCCAGCAGCCCACAGAGACGCCTGGAGCTGCACTGGCATCTGCACCTTCTCACTCTGAAAGGGCCTCATTCAGTCACGGGGTATCCGTCAGGCTGGGAATTTTCTGCTACAGTTTTAATTGAAGGGTTGGATGCAAATCATCCCTGCCTAAACTGTGCTGTTTGAAAACCATCCAGGAATGAGGTTGATGGCTGAGTGCAGAAGGAAGTGGCTCAGCGAAGAGAAGTTTGGGGAAACCAAGGTGGCAAGAGACCTGGCAGGGCTGAGAGCTTTCTGCTGCCTCGGCCCACTGGACTTTGTCAAAAAGTGTTTCCCCCACCCCCACCCCTTGGCCCTAATTAGCTTTGATATTTGAGCAAGTCAAGGAACTTATTTGAACTTTCCTCAATTCCCTCATCTATGCATTAGATGGTTTTGTTTTAGAGCAATTGTTTTCATGCCATGTTTCAGTAGTGTTCTACTTTCAAAGTGAATCTCACTGGAAATCCTGGCACTTGGGCCACTAATCAGCCTTCTTTACAGTCAGGCTTTGAGTTTCCAACTCCTCAGGTATCTCTGAAGAGTCCCCAGGAATTCTGAGCCAGGGGCATGGCCTGAGACTCAGGAAGCTGCTGTTTGACCAAGTCTCTGAGATGATTTCTATGTAGCTGTTTGGGGGATTATAACTTGGGAGCCCCTGGGTTAGTTCATGTGCTCTGCTGACCTGTGAATATAATAAGCACATGATAAAAATAAGGCTGGCTGTGGCCTCCTGCTAAGGTTAGAAGAACAAAAGGGATTAAATCAGAGATGAAGAATAGAAAACACAAAGATGTATTTTGCTGGGTCTATAAAGTATGTAATACAGGTTGAGTTTCTTTACCTGAAATGCTTGCAACCAAACAAGCATTTTAGATTTCAGATTTTGAAATATTTACACACCTAATGAAATATTTTGAAGGTAAGACTAAATCTAAACACAAATTCATTTGTTTCATATATATCCATAGCCTGAAGGTAATCTTCTTATACAATGTTTGTTAATAATTTTTGCATAAACAAAGTTTTCATGCTGTGGAATTTTCCATTTTTTGTGATGTCATATCAAGTCTCAAAAAGCTTGAGAGTTTGGATTTTCAGTTTTGTTTTAGTGTAGTTTTAAAACTTAAATAAGTTCCCATTTTTAACTGCCAATATCTGACTTCTTTTCTTTTAAAAAAAATCAGAAAATAAGACAATCTTGAGCCCCCATTTCTATATGCCATGCTTTGACTGGCAGCCAAATCCACGCCACCCTACTAAGGCAAAAGTTTCAGTCTCTGGTTTCCTACACTCTTATCAGTTCCCACTGTATCTATCACGTGCCGCCCCTTCCGTTTATAGCACATGTAGACATTTGAGTTTTCCTCCTTTAAGAATTTTAGTTGCAATGTTTTAGTTAAAAGTAATAAAGGCCTGATCTTGAAAATGCTTTGCTTCTAGGAAAGTTGGGAAATTTTTAGTTCCTTAAGCATTTTACAAAACAAAAAAGAAAAAGAAAGAACAGAAAAGAAATAGAACCGGCTTAAGAAGCCTTGGCCATGCTTAATAGGATACTTCCACAGGTCTGGGACAAGCGACTTGATTTCTGACTGCCAGTGAGCCTCGGTTTCTAGGGACAGGTGGGCTCCTTTGCCACCTGGGGACGCTGCCCTTAGCCGTCTTGTGTTCCTCATTGCTTGTAGGTGTGCTGATGTGGGAAGTCTTCAGCGAAGGCCGAGTCCCCTATGAAAACCGAAGCAACTCGGAGGTGGTAGAAGACATCAGTACCGGATTTCGGTTGTATAAGCCTCGACTTGCCTCTGCTCCCATCTACCAAATCATGAATCAGTGCTGGAAAGAGGTCAGTAGACAGTGGTGTCCCCCTGCGTTAGAGTATGTGACCACAGCGCTGCATCCTTTCCCAGAGAAAGGAAGCCTTTTAGAAATAAGGAGCGGGGATGAATAAAACAGATTAGCAGGAATATGACTTTAAGAATCCCTTAAAAATTTTGAATTACTATTTTAGTTGTATGTATTTGTGGAATACAGTGAGATAACTCAATACATGTACTAATGCATACAGTGTGTAATGATGGAATCAGAATTTTTAGCATTCTTTCTCCTTAAATTTTTAAAAATAAATTTTGATTAACACAGCAATTATAAATTTTATAGCATACAGTATGATGTTTCAATACATGTACATAATGTGAACTGATCAAATCAAGATAATTAATGTTTCTATCTCCTTATCATTACAGTATAGTTAGAGCCTTATACTTTTCTAATTAAATATATAATGCATGCTGTGAACTAACCACCTACTGCACAGTGGAAGGAGAGCTCACCCCTTCCCCATCCGTGTCCTGGGTCCCATTATACAGCCTGGCTCTGTTCCTCCTCCCTCCACCTTCTCCAGCTATTCCACATTCAGCCTGACTCTCGGCTTCTGTGGATGAGAAAGAACATGCAGTATTCGGGGGTTTTTGTATGTGTGTGTGCTCAACTTATTTTACTTAGTACACTGTCTTCTATTTCCATCTATTTTGCTGCCAATGATAAGATATTCCTTTCTGTGGATGCCTCAAATTCCCTGGTATATATAGCACACAAGCTTTCACCTTTCACCTGTTGATGGCACCTAAGTCGATTCTATACCTTAGCTATTGTGATTCCTGCTCCAACAAACAAGGGAATTCAGGTAACCTTTGATATGCTCATTTAAATTCCTTTGGATACGTACCCCAGAGGAGGAATTCTGGGATGTACTGTAGTTCTAATTTTAGTTTTTTGAAGAACTTCTATTCTGTCTTCCATCGTGATTGTTAATTCACATTCTTACAACTGTGTATGAGTTTCCTTTTTCCACATTCCCACTATCACTTTTTTTAGTCTATTAACAGATTTCCTATTCCTAACACAGGTAATAGCAACCTTAATTATAACTCAATTTACTATATAATAGCACAAACCATAAGATTCAAAGATAAAGATAGGATCAGACTTCAATTTTATTTTTTATTTTATTTTCTTTATCATTATTACTTTTGTGGGTGTGGTGCTGGGGACTGCAAAAAGGGCCTTTCACATGCTAGACAAGTGTTCTACCACTAAGCTACAATCCCTAACCCTGGACCTCAGACAAGAAAAATCCATAACATCATAGAACCACTGTATATTTATTAGAGGAACAGAAATTTACCTTTGCTATGAGACTATTAAAGTGGATTAAATAAAGATCATACTAATCTTTAATACTTCACAATTTGTAGTTGCTCTGTACTCTCGCAGACAGCTCAAGTACCCTGGACTTCAGTCGAAGGCTTTGCCTTTAGCCATAGGAACACACGTCTCAGATATTTTTGATAAACCTGAAAACTGTTCATTGCTGCTGTAAGTGGGAAGTTGCTGAAGCAGAGCGTCAATAAAAATTCACAACAATGAAAGACAACAAAGCGGAATAATTTTTAAAATACGTATAGAGAGGACGTTTGGATTTTGTCTCGGCTTTAACACATCTTTATCTCAGACAAGTTTCTGAGCCTCCTTTCTCTTATTTTTAAGATGATTAAATAATGTATCATCTGTAAAATTATAGAGCTTTTCCATACAGAAGCAAACAGCAAAAACATAAGAACACAGAACTATAACATATGTAACATACCAAGGAGAGAGGGAGCCAGGAGAGATCACCAGGCTGTGTAAGGGCAACACGCCATGAAGTGTATCGTGCCTGGGTGCAGGAGGCAGAGAATGCGATGAGACCATCTGCCCTGAAAAGAGACAAGCCTGTGCCTTGCATAGGGATAGCGAGAAGGCAGGGAACATTGGGCAGGAAGACCCGCAGTAAGCATCTGTGCTCAGAGTTCTCCGGCAGTCTTGCACCTCGGTAGGCAGAGTCCTTGAAGTATCCAGTATAAATTCTTGGATGCTTCCAGATGGCCCCACGACATGCAAAATTTTTTGCCATATCTTATCACCGCCACAATGTCCCATGCTGGCTGATGACAGCCTCAGTGCTGAGCTGAGTTGCCTGCAGAGAGCAGCTCTTCTGTGGGCAAGCAGGCTGGGGGCTGGAGGAGTCGGGTCCAGGTGGAACCTTACAAATACAAATCCTGGTCACTTTATAAGGATTACATAATATTATAATCATGGTACCTAATATTTCATATGTTTTTCTCTTTAAACTTTAATTAATAGGCTTTACCTTTTTTTAGAGGTTTCCAGTTTAGAGAAAACTAAACTAAGACTGCAGAGAGTTCTTGGACACCTTCTCTCTTCAGTTTTCTCTAATTAACATTTTGCCTGAGTTTGGTACATTTGTAACGAGTAAAGAACCTCTATTTATACATCATTACCAACTGAAGTCCATAGTTTACATTAAGGTTCACTCTTGGTGCTGTGGAGTTCTGTGGGTTCTGACAAATGGTTAATGGCCTGTGTCCACCATCACAGGATCACGTAGAATATTTTCTATCCCCTAAATTTCTCCTGGACCTCTCTTTATCTGTTCCTCCATGTCCAGACTCCTGGCAACTACCAATTTGTGCCATACTTCAGCTTTTCCAGGATGTCACATATGGGAATGATACACTATAGAGCCTTTTTAGGCTGGCTTCTCACATTTAGTAATATGATTTTAAGGCTGCTCCGTGTCTTTTCTTGGTTTGATGGCTCCTTTATATTGCTGAATAATATTCAACTGTATGGATAGATCATTGTTTGCTTCTATTTACCAGCTAAAGGAAATCTTAGTTGCTTTCAGTTTTCAGCACTGATAAATAAAGCTGCTGTACATATTTATATGTAGACGGATCCATTTATGTGGATCTGTTTCTGATCACAAATTTTCACCTCAACTGGGTAAATGTCTGGGAATGTGACTGTGGATCATAAGGTAAAGCTATGTTTAGTTTTGTGAGAAACTGCCGGGCTATCTTCCATAGTGGCCTTACCATGTTATCTGTGTCGGTACTTTTTGTGCGGTATATCAGTCATTTTCAGAGACATGTAGCAATATTTCATCTTTGTTTTAATTTGTGTTTCCCTAATGACGAGTGATACTTTACAGCTTCCATATGTGCATTTGCCCTCTGTACGACTTCTGGGTGAAATATCTGTTCAGCTCTTTGGCCCATTTTTCAAAGAAGGGTTTTTTCTTAATTGTTGAGTTTTAAGAATTCTTTGTATATTTTTGTATAGAAATTCCTTATCATATGTTTTGAAAATACTTTCATCCAGTGTATAATTTGTCTTTTCATTCTCTTAGCAACATCTTTCTCAGACCAGGTTTTAATTTAATAAAGTTCAACATCCATCTTTTTTCCTTCATGAATTGTGCTTTTGACATTACACCTAAAAACTCTTTGCAAGACCTAAAGTCACCCAGATTGTTTCCTATGTTACCTCATGAAATTTGCATAGTTTTGGATCTTAGATTTCATTCCATTAGCCGCTTTTGTTTTTTTTTTCTGGGTGCATTTTGTGTTTATAGTTAACAAATGAGCACAGTTAATACATTTTAGGATTTTTTGTTTGTTGGTTGGTTGGTTGGTTGGTTTTGTACCAGGGATTGAACTCACCACCTTGTGCTTATCAGGAAAGTGTTTGAGCCACTGAGCTAAATCCCCCACTCTTTGAATTAGTTTTTGTGAAAGGTGAGATGTCTTTTGCTAGAATCATTGTTTTGATATGAATGTCCAATTATTCTAGCACAGGTTTGTCAGAAAGATTTCCCTTTCTTCTTTGTTCCTTTATCAGAGGCCTGTTTACTGGATTTATATGGCTCTATTTCTGGTCTCTCTAGTCTGTTCCACTGTTCTATTTGTTTATTTTTTTCACCAGTGCCAAACTGACGTGATTACTGTAGCTTTGTAGGAAGCCTTGACATCAGATAGTGTCAGGCCTTCAACTTTTTATCATTATCATATTGGCTCTTGGAGTCTTTAGCTTTACCAAGTAAATTTTAGAATCAGTTTGTCAATATCCATAAAATAACTCTCTGGCATTTTGACTGGAATTGGGTTGTTTAAGTTTTGAAGAATTGCCATCTTAACAATGTAGTCTTTCTATCCATGAATGTGAATGTCTTTATATTTATTTCAATCTTTGATTTCTTTCATTAGAATTTTTGCATTTTTCCCGATAAAGCTCTTATTATATTTTATGAGACTTAATTTTATGAGACTGAGTATTTCTCTTTTTTTATCTAACACTAATTTTATGATGCATTATTACACGATGTACTTAATTCTCGAAACAATTTTATGAGATAGGTTTTCTTATTTCATCTCCTTCTTACAAATGACAAAAACAGCCTCAAGTAGTTGAGTAACCTATCATATAGCTAATGACAAGTAGCGCTGAGATTTAAAACCAGACTGTCTGATTGCAGAAAACCTGGTATTAACCATGAGGGCATAATGGCTCCAATATAACCTAGATAGAAACATGCTTGCTTTGTGGGCTTGCTTTGAATTTAGCTGTGATAGATGAATACGAGGAACTCACAGAGTCCTCTCTCTTCCTCTCCAGAGACCAGAAGACCGGCCGCCCTTCTCCAGACTATTTGGACAACTGGCCGAAATGGCAGAATCGGGACTTTAGTGGAGATTCGCTGCCAGGCCATGGACTGTACACCCTGAGCGGAGGAGGACTGTCCTCCTTCCACAGAGCATTAGCAGCTGTCACCATCAGCCCCGGACCCTCCAGAAGCAGCCTGGCCTGTGGTGCCTGCTCCTGAGCTGCCACGAAGGCAGCATTTTGACAGAGGCCAGTGGCCAGACCATAGGCGGGCAACTCCACCACGGAGCTGAGGGCCAGGCCACACAGCAGGGCTGTCCCTGTGCCCCGCTAGCCTCTGGTCCTGGAGTGCACAAACTTCCATCTGACAGCTTTCGGGAAACATTTCTTGCACTTCTTAGCAATAGGGAGAGACAGATGAAGATCACAGATTCTTACTTTTATTGTTATTTTAAGCCTGCATCTCAAGTTTATGGTCAAGGGACTTTTTTTTGATCCGATGTAATATTCGAGTATACGAGGGAGGGCAAGGAGAATGAGAAGCAAGGCCCTTCCTCTGAGAAAGCAGTGAGTTGATTAAGGCCAGGAAGAGAGTTCTGTAGCTGTAAGCTGTCAGCCCCCACTTCCTGCCACAGATGAGCTGGAGCAGCTTCTCACATAGAGGCCGGATGTCCTGAGAGGCAGCTCTCTTGAGGTTACAGAGCCCGCTGCCATCTCTCTGCTTGGTGCAGCATGGGGAGCTGTGCTGGATGGATGGGCTGAGCCCTTAGCATACTTTAGTTGGACCATTGGTATTTGATATCCAGACAAGAATGGGACAGTTTTTAAGAGCAGGAAACCAACAAGTACCAAACAGGCCTTAAGTTCTAACCACTCCAGCTCTCCCATTTTATACCAAGCCACACAAGTGACTACGCCTCCTCATCTACACAGAATGAGAGGAAACAGCTACTTCTGGACTCTCATCTTTCAAGCCTTTGGCAGTCAGCCCCTTGTCTGCACTGTTTACCCACATCAACAGAGGGCAGCATCGTGCTGGTCAGCACAGCCCTGCAGAGGGATTGAAGGTTATTTAGGCCCTGGGGGTTGACACTTTCAAGGTTGAGACATCAAGACTCCCCAACTTCTAGGAGAGAAAAAAGGAGTTTGTCCTTCCTCAGCCTGTCTGGATGGAAACTGAGTCAAGCACTGACTGAGGTGCTTCCATGATGTACAAGGATGTCTGCTGTTGATTGAGCACTTGAATAAGCAAAGTGAATATATGCAGAGTTACTAGCCATTCCTACAGAATCTCAGTTCACCATGGCCCATGCCAACCCCTTGAGATAGTAATATTGTCCCCATTTTACATATTATAGAACTGAGTCCTTAAAAAATCCATGGTACCTGCCCAAAATGACAGAACTGGGGAGTTCAGAGCTGGGATTTTAGTCCAAATATTTCTTGCTAGAGTGCAAACTTTTTTTATTCTTATTCAACATTGCCTCCTACTGAGAAGGAAGAGAATTGCAAAGGAGGTCCGCATTGCAGAGGGGAAAGACTGAGAGCCAAGGCAAGTCACGCAACAGCACCAGTGAGTAATTTTGCTTCTGCCTAGGCTACAAAGGTGAGCAGTGCAGCCCCCAACTTGGATCAGGATCTTCACCTTCTCCATCTTCACCTTGATCACAGTTAATGACTTTGGAGTTACTCAGTTAATTAGCGTTAATCTTCCCGGTTCAACAGTCAGTTTGCATAAAGCCATTTATAGATGAGCTTGAAAGCAGCTTTAAAAGATGCTACGGCGGAAGCGTACATGTGCCCTCTAATTATCATCCTAACTTCGAGTGTTGTCTTCTCATGGGGAGCGCTTTCCATGATATGAGAGACTTGATTCTCCTGTAGTGTTCACATAAAGCTCTTAGGAAAATTAGCACGAGTGTTGCAATCAACGCTTCCTAAGTCCTATGATGTCTGACTGGCTTCAGATATAGATGCATATCCTTTAACTGTAATTATTGTGAAACAGAGAGCCTTAAGATAAAATATCGTTCTGAAGATAATTTTACACAACTTACCACAATCATCCCTGTTTATTTCTCAGCATTTTGTACATTCTCTTTTGGAAACCTTACCTAGGGATGATTTCTGGGACATCCAGCCTACAAGAAAAGCATCAAAATTGACTGGTCTCTGTGGTTTGGTTTAGAAAACTTTCCCTAGTATGGTATTATCTTTTTTAATCTCAGATTCATGGGCCTTTAACTGAACATGTGTGAACTGCTCATGCCCAGGGTTCGGTGTCACAGAATAGGCTTCTTGCCTGACGTTTGTTGCCCTCACGTTTTGAAAATGGTGCCCTTTTCGCAGAAAATTCCTTTATTCAGTTTTAGTTGTAGTTGCATTTTGTAGAAATGTATTTTGTATCTTTCGTGACTGTGTATTTATATGTGGATCAGATGTCTATTTATTAGTATATAATCACTGCTACACATTCAAAATAAAGAGGTTGCAAGTATCCTGTATCCTTTGTAGAGCACAGCAAGTCAAAAAAATTGCATATGGCAAATAAAGCTGTGTATGTTTCAACAAATGCAGTCTGTATGACTTGGGTTCCATATTTCCCAAAAGGCTAACTCCAGAACTTTGCTTAAGTAAAAGTGACCGTGTGGTTTCATCTTCCACAAATAGATAAAGACTATATAGCCAACCACATTCATTCAACACACAACTATCAAATGCTTCCTATGTGCCATGTGCCCTGGGGGACGATGAAACAAAGGTGAAAAAGACAAAACTCCTGGTCTGACTGACATATAAACAAGTGAGGTTGTAATGCAGCATTGACAGCAGCAGAGAAGGCGGCATGAGCCTGGAGAAAGAGTAGTGGACTCTACCAGGGGAGGGACAGCATCATGGAAAACTTCTCCGGGTCAAAGCATGGTCCCTGGACCAGCAGCATCAGCACCAGCACCTCCTGTGAAATGCAAGTTGTCAAGCGGCTTCCTTATTTGTCAGATAAGAACCTGGGCTGTAACACTGTCCAGACAATCGTATGCACATTTTAGTTTGAAAAGTAAGTTTATATCTAACTGAGTTTTGCAGAGCAAATGTGTATATGATGCAACAAATACTTTCCAGATAAAGGGAACAGAATATTTTGGGAAGCTTTAGCTCAGTGTCTCTCTGTGTGTTCTACTAGGAGGAAGAGAAGTTGAAATTGAGGATGTGTATCTAGGCATATTTTAAAATCCCAAAAAGGTAAAATTTTACCCTGTCGGTAGAAATATCATTGAGCAAGAAAAGAAAATCCAAATTGCACTTAAACTATATTCTGCCAGCCATGTGGTGAGTAGACTGGAGAAAGGCAAAGCTGGTGGAAGAGAAATCGATTTGGAGATGAATTTTTTCCTGTTCACAGCACCAGGTTATTGTTCATACTCGTTCACTGACATCTGCTGTGTGGGTGACGTGTGGAAATTTGTAATTCAGAGTTCTTCAGTGACTGCTGGGCAGCAATAAATAGCTGTTCCCTTGTCTCTTAAAATTCCAGTGCCATAAGAGTTGTGTTACTTTTTGGGGATGTGGGGCACTGTGTTTATCAAATGCTGGTGTCACTGTGGGGGTCAGTTCAGTCCGTGACTTCTCTCCAGACGTTCCAAGGACTCACCTCGGGGCTGGGCACCCACTGATGGAAATTCACACGGGAGAGCTCTAAGGGAGGTTGAGTGGCTCACCACGTATCCCTGCTGACCCCATTCTCCCTGAATCTCTCACCACATGAGCCCACTGTTCTGAGAGAGAGACAAAATATACCTCGCTCAGCTGAGTGGGGAGTGTGTGTGTGTGTGTGTGTGTGTGTGAGAGAGAGAGAGAGAGAGACAGAGACAGAGACAGAGACAGAGACAGAGAGATAGAGGATTGCAAAAAGGGCTTTAATTCCCTAGTTAGAAGGGTTTGAGGTTGTGACATCAGAAAGAGAAGATTAAAGGTGAAAGCTCATTAGCACAATAAACATCTGTTTTTATGTTAGAGTATGTGTTAGTTTAGAATGCTTCTACGAGGACTGCTAGAAATTGGGTTTCCCATACCCCATTCTTGAGAGCCATCTCGTGTGTGTGTGTGTGTGTGTGTGTGTGTGTGTGTGTGTATCAGGACTCTGAGATTCTCTCCAATGCATAATGTATCACTGGCTTGTAAAATAATGGAAACACAGGTATTATTGTGAGTTTTAGAAATTATTTATTTATTTCATAAATACTATCCACCTACTATGGTTCTGTATTAGGTAGAGGGTTTAGCACGATGAATAAGACCTCCATTAGGTGACAAACACATCCCAAATCAGGCTAAGTTAAGGAGAGCATATTTACAAAAGAGCTATTGGAAACATGTGGTTCACATTAGGAGCACGTAACAAAGTGGCACAGAGGGAAATGGCAGCTGAGGAGTGTTACAGTTCAAATGTGTGGGTCCCTCCACAATTCATAACCCCAAGTTAGTAGTATTAAGAAGTGGGACCTTTTGGTGACAGGTCTTGAACACTCCAACCTCATGGTTAGGATTAATGCCTTTATAAAAGAACATGAAGGACTATTTCTTTTGCTCTCCAACTCTCCACCATGTGAGGGCACAGCAGCATGGCACCATCTATGGAGCAGACGGCAAACCCTCGTAGAACACTCAGTGTTCTGGAAATTTGATCACAGATGTCCCAGCCTCCACAACTATGAGAAGAACTTCACGTTGTTTATAAGCTATTAGCCCAAGGTATCTTGTGATAGCAGTGCGAAGTGACTGAAGTGAGGAGTTGCCATGCACACGCCCTAAGGAATGAGGAAGGGAAGTGGCCTTTCCAGTACAGAAAGGAGCCACCTGGAGAACATTGCCTTGAAAGGAAAGAGCTTTAGTGGTGGGCAGAGAAAGCTCAAGGCAACAAACTTCACAGGGAAAGATGCGCCCCACTCACCCCTCCATCAATCCTTAGTATTTCTGGTTGGTCCAACCCAATTGAAAGCCAGAGGATCCAGGAGCTGTGCTCCAGCACAGCAGTCCAGAGAGGTCAGGCTCCCGCGGCAAAAGAGCAAATTGAACAGCCTGCTGCAGACACAGACCCTTCCTCTAAGAAGCTTGCAGGACAGAAAACATCCCAAAACATAAGCATTGGTCCTCATTATATGTGGACTGTATATTTGAAAACTTGCCTATTTGCTAAAATTTGTTTTAGCCCAGAAATCAATATTCGAGGACTTTGGTTTTGTTTTAGTTCTTCTGCAGTCATTCATGATGTGCCTATTTGTAGAACAGTAAAATTTTGTCCTTTTTTACATGCACATTCCCAACTGAGGTCAAAGAGGGCAATGTTTTATTTTCCCATCTTGTGCTGTAAACAAGTGGTCTTTTTGTAATCTGTTTAGTGTCAGAACTTTTTGCTTCTGTAGGAGTTACTTTGGTATTCAAAGTAACCCAAAATATAGTGGCAAGGTGCTATTTATGGTTCCTAACTGTGAGCACATTGTAATGTCTTACATTTAAAAAATAACTACTGTATAAGCTTTCTGCAAGCATGAGTTCCAGTTCTGTTGACCATGTACAGTATTAATGAATCAACAGTATATATTAAAGGTTATTTTAACAGAAATGTGCATAAAGCAAAATTATATATTGATTGGTTGACAAGTATGGTCTGCTGTAATCAGAAGCTTCTAGGAAAGTCAATGTTTGCTAGTTTATCATTCATGCTAACTTTAAAGACATAACTTCCGTACAACAGGAGTGAACTGCAATTGCCAGGGGTCGTTGTAGGTTACTTGATGGAGATGAGGGAAAGCACAGAGAACCAAGTAAAAACACCTGAGAAAGGGACCAGGGAGGTGTTCCCCAAGGATGTGTGAAAGGCAACTAGAGGTTCCCGAGTAGAAATGTCCTCCCTTGGGATAGGGCCTGAAAGGACATTTCAAGCAGAGAAACTAGCATGCATCAAAGCATATCTTCTTCCAACTTCTCTCCCTGCATTATGTTTATGTTAGAAACAAAAGCCTTGAGGTCCAAGCCAACAGATACCAGCCACAGTCACAGGAGAGTTTGTTGAAGGAGCCAAGGAGATTATCCATGGCCCTCTAGGTTGGAGCCACACACCAGTCAAGATAGCATCACCAATCTCTGCTTTTTTTTTTTTTTCAAAGACTGATTTTGAGTAGAAGTGTTGAGAACCTGAGACAAGATACACATTCCCATGTTTTTCTGTTTTGTTTTCTTTTTCTTCTTTTTGAGGCAGGGTCTCACTATGCAGTTCAGACTGGCTGAGCTCACTTTATAGCCCAGGCTGGTCTTGAATTTGCAGCAGTTCTCCTGCCTCAGCCTCCAAAGTGCTGGGATTACAGATGTACACCACCATTCCCGGCTTGTTCTGTCTTTCTTAAAGCACTGTGTTTGACATTTACAGCAATTTGAGGATGACATTGCAGTGGGATCTTATTTGACAGGGGAGGAAAGTGATAAACAGAGACGGTTAAGTGACACACAGGGGCAGTAGACTTACTTAGCACATGTGAGACTGAACTCAAAGCTTATGCCAAGCCTTGCATTGTCCCTAGGAATCACACCAAAATTTAAATCATTTTAATAGCAACACTGATGGTGATGATAGCTTACATTTGTGAGCACTTATGAGGTTCCAGATTCTGCTTAGCACTTTACATTTGCTATCTCATTTATTCACCATGAGCACCTTCAGGGATAGGTAAAATCATTGTCAGTTTTACAGATAAAACACATAAGGCTCCATAAATTAAAGGGATCTCTCATGGCCTGGTAAGTGGCAGAATGGGGTGTGCAGTCAGACCTGTGTGTCCCCAAGTTCCAATGCTCACAATCATTCTGTGGGACTGATATTAGATCCACTTATGCCAAACTCTGAGAGCACAGCAACACCAAGGGTTATAGCTCGGTTTCACTGCAGAATTCTAAATCCAGTTGGGGATATGCTTATACTGTTTTGATCAGTTCTTATCTGAAATTATTGCAAAAAGTATTTGTTTAAGGATGAAATGTTCTTTGCCATTAAGTTATGTGTAAAAGAGCTGATCTTCAAGGGAGGTCAGGTATCCCAAAGTTGTAGAAAATGAGCACAATGAAAGAAATACCGCAAAGAATGGAAGGCATGCATTTCCATAGGACCCAGGATGAAGCCTGTAATGTTTCAACTACAAAATAGTCCTCCAGTTTCCAATTGAAACAAGAACAACAAAAACAGAGCTGCTTCTCGGAATGTTTTGAGCATAAAATGAACCTACTCATATAAGCATAGAAGCTGGCTGCATGCAGATAAGTATTCAAAAAATATCAGGTCAAGGACATACACTTTAACAAGTTGTTACAGATTCAAAGGAAGAGTTAAACAACCCATTATCCTTGAGAAAGGCCCAGGATCTAGGACAGGCCAGCCTTCCTCTTTCTGAGCCTGAATTCCTATACCCATAAAATGAAGCAATTTGGAGCAAGTAGGCAGATACTATCTAGTGGCTAATCTAAATCGTGTAACTGACCATGAAGTTTCTCTTTTGCTCCCAACAGTACAAATACTACAAATACTTAAAGCCAAATATATGGGGCTAGTGCAGCAACCTGAGAGCACAAAGAGGAATTTTTATTATTTTGGGTTTTTGTCAGTTTCGTGTCTTATGCATGCTTTTATCATAATTGCCTATTTATTTCCTTATTAAGTAAGTCTCCATTTCATTTCGAGTAAGTTCTGGTCCAGAAGAACATTTATCAGTTGGTTTATTCATAAGTCCAACAAAGTGAGTCTCACACACCTTTGACACAAATACAAAATGTGCATTGCTCTGTGCTTCTAGCAGTGCCTTCCACATCACTGCTGCCTTTCCTCTCACTCCCAGACGCCCTGGGCTCTGACCAAACACCGTATGACTCCACTGCACACTGTCCCACTGTACTGTAAGCACATAGCAGCACAGCTGTGACACTGTCCAGCAGATATGTGAGCTATCTCTGAGTTTCATTCACATCTACAAATATTCATAGCGTGAGTCTGTCTGTATCTGCGGAAGTTCACAGCTCAAACTTTTGTACTTCAAACTTCAGTACAGTACTCAAACTTACTGTACTTCAAATTTTTTTCTTGCTAATTTTTATTTTCAATCTATATATTCCTGCAACACATGTGTCTTGGTTACTTTTCTCTCTTTGCTGGGACAAAATACCTGACGCCCAAAATGAAGGAAGGAAAGGTTTATTTAGCTTACAGTGTGTGGAGGTTTCAGTCCATAATCAGCTGGCTCCAAGGTAGCAGGGATGGTACTGGAGCAACACTTCAAGGCAGCAGCCAGAAAAAGCAGCCAGAGCAGAAGAGGAGGAGGTGAACAAGCCTCTTCCCCTCCCTTATATATTGTAAGCAGGCTACACTCTCCTGCCCCAGGGCGGGTATACCACCTCTGTGCCTTCTTCTTACACAGTTTGAGCATGTTTACAAAGTGAGTTGGCTTCCTGTTGAGTCTCTTAGTTAAACTTCTAAACTTCTCAAGTTGATGAAGTGTATTGACCATAACATGTTAAGTATAATTTTGGGATAATAAACAAATGAATGTGGCTTGGAACAAGGAAAATAAAGTACGTAACTGCAGTAAATGCCATGGGTTTGGTTTCAGTAACTCAGGCAAGTTTTTTAGTAGCTTTAGTTTCCTCAATTGTACAGTATCACAAAGGATTATATTTCCCTTGTAGAAGAATTGTGAAAATTAAATTAGTAATGTGTGCAACATATGTTAGTCATTTTTATTTTGTGTGTTTCCCCTCTCTAGAATCAATTCTCATGACCATTCCAGATATTCCATGGCTGGTTTCTGTGAAGCAGAGTGTGACAAAGGTTTTTGAATGGAGATCTCAATGTCCTCAGTGATTTGATACTTTTCTTAAATTAATCACCATTGCCTTCCATAGAACAGGGCCTGAACCACAGCTTTGCAAGTGGCAAAACAGTTCTCATACAGTAGCTGCCATCTTCTCATTGCTGATTCCTAGAGTCTGGAAGGGAGGGTAATTTGAAGGCAGTAGATAGTCAGTTACTAATTTAGTCAGTCAGCTAATTTTTAATGACAATCTGTGAAGATTTAACCTTGAATTGGCTGTTCATCTGATCCATTTGTTGACAGAAATGTTATATTTCTGGCTCCATGTCAGTCTTTGAAGATTCAGTGGGATAAGATAAATATATCCCTGGCTCTCCCAGATGTTATCCTCAAATGGTGAGACGCAGGCATTGTGTTAAACACTGAAATGCAGCATAATTAGCAATATGAAGGAGGAAGCACAAGGGGCCATCGGATCAAAGACAGAGAATCCTAAAGCAATCTGCACAAGGAGGGATCATGGAGCAAGTAACAGCTAAAGGTATACCAGAAGAAATTAGGCAGAAAAAGCGAGGAGAAGTGTGAAAAGGGAGGGAAGGGAAGAACAAAGTATTCTAAACAAGAAGCTTTGGCTTGTACAACAGTCAAACATGAGTGAAAACATAGCAAGTTTGGAGAACTACAAAAGGTTCCTTTTAGCTAAAGCACAGCAAGGGTGCTCGCATAGGAAGAGACATCAGAGTTAGATGCTAGATCATCGTGTGCGCTACCTTCCTCCTTGCTGAGACAAAATACCTGACACCCAAAGTTAAAGGAGGAAAGTTTGATTTCAGCTAATAGTTTGTAGAGGATTCAGTTCACAGTTGCAGGGTGGCATGGCAGAGGGACATCACAGAGGAGAAAGAGTTCTCAGCAGGCAGAAGACAGCAAACCAATGGAGCAGCAGCAGGAGTATCAGCAAGCAATGACAGCGGCCCTCTTTCTGTCCCTATGATGTATCCAGGCCAAATGCCCTTAGTGCGTAGCACTCACAGCCAGAGAGGGCCTTCCCATTACACACACGATTGCTGATTTCTAGAGTCTGGAAAGGAAGGTAATTTGAAGGCACTAGATAGACAGCTATAATTTTAATGGCAACCTGTAAAGATTTAATCTTGAGCTGGCTGTTCATCTGATCCACATGTTGACAGAAATGTTATGTTTCTGGCTCCTTAACTATGTCAACCCAATCAGTGGACTAACCTAGTAATCACACACCCTCGGTTCCAGCACTGCACACTCAAGATCCAGCCACCTCTGGAAAGTCACCATGTTTGAAGTAATGATTTAAGTGAGATGAGTGATATAACATCTAACTATAAAGAATCGTGAATTCTCAGTACTTGCGAAATGATGTGAGCTCAGAGAAGTTAAAGACTTCATAAGTCCTCCTGAGACTTGAGCAGCCCACCCATGACCACATGTAGCTTCAGGGGAACATTTATCTACAAGCTATAACAACCGCTAAGACCAATCTGATAGGTCATAGGCGTGAGTTTGGGCTTCATTCTGAGAGCAGGGTGTAGCTAGTGGACTACTTAGCCTGGAAGGAGCATGCCCTTTTGTTCCCATTCACGCAATTTCCACATAGAGGGCTATTGGATTGTGTCCAATCTACTTAATTTTACACATGGGGAAATACGGGGTTGAGTCTACTTGCCTAATATCACTCTGCAGTTGGTTACAAAACTAGGACCAAAAAACGAGCCTCTGGATTTCTGACACAGTTGCTCTACAAAACCCTTAAAAGCAGCTGGAATTCAGGGATTAAGTTAATTTTTTTTTTGCCTAGATCTAACCAAATCTATAGGTAATAGTCTTTTCTTGTGATCTTTTGTAAACAGCTCCTTCCTGAAAGGTGAAAAGAAAAAGAACAACAGGAAGAAATATGTCTTCCAGATAATTGAAACCTAAAATAATATGCACTTCAGAATAAAAATCAGATTTACCAGGGTTTTCACTGTTTCACTAGCACTGGAAATCCCAAGGCACACAACACAACAGAAAATGGAAACTTAATCATTAAAAAAAAAGAAAACAAAAGGAACACGTGTTCTTTTTTTTTTTTTTTTAAGTCATCATCCTCCACACTACACAGTTTTCCCACATAGCATTAGGGAAAGAAATATATGTGTGTCTATAAATATGTAAGTCATCATTTCTGAAATAGGCATGTAAATGAGATGAGTGATGTAACATCTAGCTACAAAGAATATGAATTCTGAGCACTTGTGAAATGGTGTGAGAGACCAGACTTCACAAGTCCTTCTGAGACTTGAAAAACGGTGGCTCCTATATGACCTGCGATTTATAGGAACAAATAGCTGGGTGATCCTGGGTAAATTTATGAGCTCTAGTGAACACTGCAGAAAGGCTCCCTTGTATCAAGATGTTATACCTTGTTATATATATATATTATAAAGTCTCAAGTTGCTTTCAAGTTAGTTACCCTCAAATTATTGAGGTACAGAGGGTAATTGTTATTCTTTATGTTGCAATCTCGCAGCATCTCAAGAGCAGAGCGGTAAAATAAACCCTTTGCTTAGGTTGAGACTTCTACCTGGTCTGAAGGCTCCCTAAGCTGCATCTCAATGAGCACAGCTTCTTGGAAGAGTCCCAGCAGATGCACCTTGAAGGGAAAGGAGCCAATCATCTCAGTTCCTTCTGGATCCTGGCTTTCCCCAGGGTTGTTCAGAAGCGCTTTCCGTCTCCTCTTTGCTCCAAAAGCAATTCTTCTTGAATGTAGTGGCACCTGCTACAAAGATGGACGCTTCACGATTCTGCTCCAAGGAACAGAAAGGAAGTGGGAGAGGACTGGTCCCCTTCTGCAGTATCGGAAATCAAATCCAGGGACGCTCAAGCACTGAAGTGCTCCCCCAGCCTTCTCTAGTTGCAGGAGCTGAGCTTCAACTTGCATCTTCCAGCCCGAGCCTCTTTCAGTGCTAGGGTTCCAGGCGTGCACCACTTTGCCTGGCTGGGAGTCCTGAGCCAAGAGCCTAGGAATAAGCAAGGTCAATTAGTGGAAGGTCCTAACCCCGGCTCAGCTGTAATAAGACTTCACCCCGCTCCTTCCCTTGAGCTCCCAACGTTAACTGGACGCTTGCTAGGTTAATTGACTCTGGTGATGATACATTTCACGAGGGCAGGGACCCTTTTCTGTACACCAGTGAACATCCAGCTCCAGGCCAGGCGCTTGGCACAGAACAGGTGACCCCTGCAGATGAGCTAGATAGATGAGCACTTGGAGATAATGAGACCAATGAGATCCGAAAGGGGCCGAAGCTTCCGCCCTGCCCAGGCTGCAGGTGTGGTTCCGGGTTGATGGTGGGGGGAAGGGGGGCAGCCTTCCTTCTCCAGCCCAGAGTAGGGCGGGGGCTAGTTTTGGGGTGGAGGACCCTGGACGCGGGTCACCAAGCCCCGAGGCCCCGCGCCAGCCACTTCCGGCTCTTTGTGTGACAGCTGTGGCCGCTGAGGGGCCCAGCGCCAGGGCGCGGGGCCGGGGGTGGGGCGGGCGCGCGGGGCGGGGCCGAGGGCGGGGCCGAGCGCGGCCGGCGGAGCGGAGCCGAGCGGAGCGGAGCGCGCACAGCATCCTGCGCCCGGCGCGGGGCCTGCGGTAGCTCTGCCCCTGCCGCCGCCCTGCTGCAGACCCAGGTAAGCGGCGCGCGCCGGCCTCGGTTCCCGCGCGGTGCCGAGGCGCTGCGGGAGCCCCGGACGCGGCCGAGAGGATGCGCGGGGACCGGCGTCCTTTCCCTGCCCGCGGGGGGCGCTCGGCGCGGTGCGGCCTGGGGTCCCCGGAGGCCTTGCGGCGGCCCTGCGCGACCCCTTGGCCCTTGGTCCCACCGTGGGTCCCCCGCGCGGAGTCACTGCGCTCCACTGTGCGGGGGGCGCGGGCAGATGGGCGGCAGGTGCGCGGCCTGGGCCGGAGCCGGGAGCCGGCGAGGAGGCGGCGCTGACCGCGCGGGCTGGAGACACCTGCCGCGGCCACCAGCCCGGCGACGGCCGCAGTCTTACGCCCAGGTAGCGCACAGCGCGCGCCCCCGCCGCCGCGGTCGCCGGCTGCTCCGCGGAGTCCGCTGGAGCCGCCCGGGCCCTGCCAGCCGCCGCCTCGGGCACAGCGCGCAGCGGTGCACCGTGAGCGCGAGATGGGTGGGGCCAGGGGCGCGGGCGCCCGAGGTGTTCCGTGGTTGGCGGATCTGAGGAGCTGGAGGCACGGCTGACCTGCTTTGAAGCTGTGGCCTACGTGGGCATCACTTTTCAGCCTGGGGGGCAGGGAGCAAGTCCTGGGGAAAAGGTTGGTTTTCTTGATCTCTGTAGCACCTGGAAACTGCCAGCTGTCTTGGTGGCTTGTATTTTCTGGACAGCCCTAGCACTCTCTCAAAGGCTCGGCCCAACCCCGGTGCAGGGGCAAGAAGCAGGTGTGGTCAGTGCGGGCACCGCAGCAGGTAGTATGGTCTCGCAGAAGGATGGCACCCCAATCGGAGACCCTGGCTGGAAAGGACACAGTGACAGCCCAGGTACCTCATCAGGCCGCGGAACGTGACTTTGAACTTTTCTTGTCCAGTTTTCCAGAACAGTGGAAACAAACATCAACGGTTGCTGAGCCATCGGTTGGCCCTCCTGCTAGGCCAGGAATGGGCAGCGATCTTTTCCTGCCAGTGGCTGGGTGCCAGCGCCTCTCCAGGGTGGCCAGTGGGACAGGGGCAGTGCTGCCGGTAGGAGGGATAAACAGGACACTGGGCTCCTGGCTTCCACTTCTCACCTCCTGCCTGTAGGTCTCCACCCAGGGGTTTAGGCCCTGTTGGGACCCACACAAGAGACCCAAAGGCCTTCTAATCCTGGGAGACAAAAATCTAGGTCCATAGCCACGGTCAGGTGTGGGGGGCCTTCAGGACTGTTTTCCTCGCTCTCTGTCATGGCTCATGTTTTTTGTGAGGCCTCCCACCTCTACTTCCCTGGAGCTTCTTCATCATCAAGCCTTGTTTTCAAGAAGCCTAAATACAAAAGAATTTCCCGTTTGATACAGAACCGATACATTAGTGCGTTTGACCAAAGAGGAAACGGGATGGGAGACATTTTAATGGAAGGCAAAGCTAAGCAATTGATGATCTCTAATGGTAGAATTTCAGAGATCAGCTGGAAGTGGGGGTGAGTAGCTCTTTTGGGGAACAACTTCCTAAAATGGTCAGTAGCTGTGGGAGCTGTATTCATCAAGAGCGCCTGGGTTGGTCCTGAGGTCAGATGTGTGGAAGTATGCACAGGTGAAGCTGCTCAGGGATTGTATTTACTGAAGGCTTTTGCTGTGCATGCAGTGTCCACCTGTGGGATGTGACACGGAGAGAGCTCCTTGTTAGCTGTAACTGCCATTCACCAGGGCCATTACAGGCCACAGGAGTGTGTTGTTGATTGCCTTGTTGTTTACAAAAGCCATTGCCTCTGGGTAGTTTCCATTGCTGAGCCCAGGGGCAAGCACTCAGTGCTCACTAAGCTTCTTTTACTCTTCCCAAATAATGCTGACCAGTTCTGTGGGCACCCAGGCTGCCTCATTCTGTCTGAGTTGGAAAATGGAAACAGAAAAGCTTGCACTAAGCATTAGGTCAAGAGTGGGGTGTATAGTCCAGTCCAGTTGGAGAGTTTTACTCTAACCAGAGGCTGTCCCAGAGAAGGAATTTAGAGAGTACTGTGCTAGACAGCCCCAGGAGAACAGCCCGTGTCCCCTCTGATAAACTGTGCCCTGTCCCTGTTTGCTGTTCAGTGGGCCTTTGCTGCCCTCATTGACCAGAAAGCAGAATTAGGTGATGATTGGCAACAAGCTAATTAACATTGGTAGCAGCACTCTGGGGAACAGCGCAGGGCTCCTCCTCAGGCTGGAGGCTTCTTGGCGGCTGTTAGCCCCAGGGTTCCACCAAGAGCTTCACAAAATGGCCTTTTGTAGCCTCAGTGTGGCCATCATAACAATGAGTCTATTTCTTCACTGGTGAGTATTAATTATTCACTTGTAGCTGACTGTGAAGAACGAAGCCAGACATCAGTCACCGCCAGACATCAGTCACCTCGTTGGAGCCTTTGTAAAAGCCCTTTGGTCTTGTCACTTGGAGGAGCACAGCCATGTCTGTGGTTCAAAGGATGGCCCTGATTGGTGGCTGGAGGGGGCGGTGCCCGCTGCTGTCTTCTAGGCACTGAATGGGAGGCCAGCTGTGGCGGAGGAGGGGCGGGACATCTGGGATGCTCTTGTGAGAGACACATGTGAGCAGAGTGCTTACCCATAACTTCTGTTTATAGCTGGATTGTGGTGATGTGTTATTTACATAATTATTAAGAATTTGGCTCATGCATGTAGTGAACGCACAGCTCTTATTAAGCCCTGTAGGCACAGAGCTTTCCTGGACTTTGCTTTTTTGAGGGGAGTTGGTCTCTGCCAAAGGTACTGAAATGAGCCAGGGACTTTGTGTCAGTGAGGGCGCCTGGTGGGAACTTGAGTTGGCAGGGAGAAGGAAGAGGGAGAAACAAGTGAGCAGAAGCCCCGAGGTAATGCTCACATTTCAACACACGGTTCAGAAAGGACCTCTTCCTCTGTGCAACCAACCAGAAATGTCAAGGGTGTGCCTTGCCTTGCTTCTGGGATGGACAAAGCAGAAGGCTAGGCCATCGTGACTTTCTGTGTGCCTTTAAGTCAGCCACCATCATTCTGTCTTTCAAACTGAGCCCTGGAAAGTAGTCTGTCCAACTTGTTACCTGCCTGTCCCCACAGGAGCGCTGGGAGGAGCTAATGTCTGTGAATCACAGTCTGTGGTGAAGCCATGGGAATAGGAAGAGAAGGAGGCTCCTACATATGTGGCTGTTTTGGATGGGCGTCCTCGATTCCTAAAGGAACACTTGTATGAATTATATAGTGTGTGTCGATTTTAGCAGATGAATCTATGGCATCTGCCCTTTAGCCAGCTCAGAACTGAAAGGCACTTTGTGATTCGCAGATTCTAGAAGGTCCCTGGTTTGCCTTGCTGTACAAAGACACTTCAGAATTCAGGCAGTGGGTGAAGGATACCTCCCAGGATGCCCAGCGTGTGGACACTGGTTTTCTAGCTGTGGCCATTATGCCGAGGGCTATATGCCATGTGCCTCCAAGTGTGGCACTTGAGCCATGCTGCTTGAGCCCTGGCAACAGAGAAGAAAATGGATTGAGTGCGAATCTTAAAAGAAATCATGGTGAGAAGGCAGAGCTTTGCAGAGATTATTCTGGGTGTGTGGCCTTAGGTAGCCTCATAGCAGCTCAGAAGCAGGGCAAGTGGAGAGGAAAACAAGCACCAGCCCCATTGCTGGCTGCACCATAGGCCTTTTCGTAGGGTGTTTGCACCATTGGCAGGTCATCTTCCAGCAGCAGCTGCTCGCTCCCAGACTTGATTCTCCAGGTAGGGTAGACAGATGCGGAGTTTGGCCACATTATGTAATGTGTTCAAGTGTAGCAGGAAGGGAGGTCTTCCATTGAAAGCAAAGGTGCGGGACTGCCAGGGAACCTCAGGAGACTTCTGAAATTTGGAGCAGCTGCCCCTGTGGGAGGAATAAGAAATCATCAGGGGATGAATGAGAAAATTGTCTGATTTCACTGAAGGCCCAGTGAAATCAAAAGACTCTGTGGGGCTGACCCTCATCAGAGATGCCCAGTATCTCAGTGTTAAAGGAGGGGAGCACCTGAAAACTATTTTCGAGTTGTGCTTTTAAATTGTGATGCTTCAGTTGGGACTAGGTTGAGATCCCATCTCATTTGTCAGAATGGCTGCCATCAAGAAGACAAAAGACAGTGTATTTGGGGAAGAAAGTGGGGGAACTCTTCTGCGCTGCTGATGGGAATGTAAATTAGTCAATCTCTATGGAAGTCAGTATGGAGGTTCCTCAAAAAACTAAAAACAGAGCCACCATATGAGTCAGCTCTGCCACTCTTTGGTGTCCAGCCAGCACAGTTAAAGTCAACATACTCTAGGGATACTTGTGTATCCATGTTTGCTGCAGCACAGCTCAGAGTAGCCAAGATACAGAACTAACCTAGGTGTCCATGTCCATCAGGAGTGAGTGAATAAAGGAAGTGTTGTGTAGATACACAGCAGGGTATTAGCCATAAGGAAAAACAAAATTCTGTTGTTTGCAGGAATGTTGGGTGGATGTGTGAAGGTGTTGAGTGAAATAAACTAGACTCAGAAAGACAACTACCCATTTTCTCCCTGAGACATGGTGTTATGGCTTGTACCTGGATCTCCCCTATCAAAGCCTCATGAGGTCATAGGTGGGGCTTTTCAGAGGTGGTGGGTCTAGCGTGTGATGCTGAGATGAAGGAAGTGATGCTAGGATTGAGTCATCCTGTGATGCTAGGATTAAGCCTGCCCCACCCTCAGGGTGTGTAACCTGGATAGGCTATCGGAGTGGAAAGAGAGTCCCTACTTACTGCTTGCTACTTCGCTTCTTCCTTACTTTGCTGCTTCCTGCCCATCATGAACCGTTTATCCTCTGTGATGCCCTGCCTTGGAGCCAGCCAACTACGAACTGAAACTTCTACAAACTGTGAGCAAAATAAACCTTTAACTTTGGGTGTCGGGTCTTTTGTCTCAGCAACAAGAAATAAATAAAGATGCATGGATTCTTAAAAGATGGCAAGAAAGGAG